CCATAAAGTTATCATTTTGGAAAGATGAGGTTTTGTTACAATAGCGCAATATGCTTGTTCCTGTTGATGCACTGAAGTCAAGTGTAGAGATTTGTGCAATTTACCTAATTAGCCAATGTTATGTGTTACTAACTGGTAGAAAGCTGTTACTGCATGGTTGATTTGCATCTCTAAGATTAAGAGGTGCTAAGAGGCACACAGAATTCACACTTATGTCGAAGCTTAAGACTTCAGCGTTCTAGCTTGTTTTGGATGCTCTCTCATCTTGTATGATAATTGCAAAAGTGCGTTAAACCACCCTGTTGGAATGCAGAGCAGGCAGAGATGTATATGATAGATGTTTCCTATATTTTTAGCTTGAGCTGTCAGATACCTGAGCTGTCTCAAGTATAAGGCTCTCGTTCCATACTGAGAAGCTTCCTAACCCTCGAGTGGGGGAGGTGGGAACTGGAAGGATTGATGGGGAAGGCCAAACCGCGGGACATCCACTTCTGCATATCATGGCAATCTTGCGTTTAGTTTTCAGCCATGGCGAATGCCATTAGGAGTTGTTTTGTCTCCATAAGCCCTCTCGGCTCTGTGTTTTGATAGAGGTGTCAGGAAGTAGGCCCCATCCTATTCTTCTCTCCTATATCCATACTCTTCTTTCTTCAGACTCACATAGCTGAACACCCTGAGAGGGAAAAGGTGAATGGAATGCAGGTGGATTGTCTGCATTGTATGGAGATGTGCCATATGTTAGGTGATAGATACCCACTGTTTATTTGCCTACCCCCATGTCTGCACAAATATCTCAAAGATATCCAGAAGGTAAAGAGCCAAAGTTTAAAGGGCACAGTGCAGCAGCTCATGCTGAGAGGTCTCAGCAGTTTTGCAGAAGGCATAAGTTTGATATCATAAGGTTTGAAACTGATTTGCCTGGATTGTCTTGCTTATATTGCCAATCAATATTTTGGGGACATGTTGTCCTCTTTTGAAATTTTAATTTTTCTCACTGCTACTATTCAGTTAAGAACAAATACTTGCAAAGTACAGGTATGCAGTGCTTCAATGCCTAACTTCAAGTTCATCAAAGTGTCTTCCATGGTATTAAGAGAGTAGTGCTTTCTTTTAAACTTCCTTAAGTTATTTATATCAACTAGGTACAACCAGGTTAGAATCTTTACCAAGTAGTAGGTACTTTTTTCAACATGTTAAATTCCATGACAGGTTCTAGATAATATTTGGCTAATTATGTGTATTACACTGAAACAGTTTCTGGCTACTAAGCTAATGAAGGATCTAGTAAAATATCTCATAATTGCATAATTATTTGGAGTAACAAAGTGGTAAGTATAAACAAACACAAACTAAACTTAAATGTAATCTTTTGTCATTAAGCAAAAAAGTAAATCGGACAATTCGGAGCAATTTTGTTGAACTCGCTTGAAATTTATCATCATGCAACTCAACACAGACCTCATACTGACCTTGTTATACTTAGAACTTGAGGAATTGTAAACAAAAGTGTTACTTTGAAGGGTAGAAACAACTATCTTTGAAGGGAGATAGAAAAATATGTGGGCAATGATGCAAATGCCATTGAAGAACCATTTATTTTCCTTAAAAAACTTTCAATGGATTGTTCTTTGGAGAGCCATATTTGTAAATGAGACATGTGAGTGTGAAGAACCTGTTTGAAGTTTAAAGCACCTCCACATAATGTAAAGTTTCTTCTATAGCATCGCTCGAAGAACACTCTGTGGTTCCTTTTTTTAAAAGTGCATGGTAGCAATTGGATAAAATAAATGGTAGCATGCTAACTGTCCCAAACGCTTACACATAATATTGTATTACTCAGAATGACCCTTAGTCTTTAATATGTTCTCACAAGCTGAAAAAGATCAGTTTGGTCTCTTCAAACTGTTGACTAATGCTGATCATGCCCTAGTTTGCCTTAGAGGGTCCTCAGCCTGTCACTGCTGAAAATCCAAAAGACTTCAGGCTGTCTTCTGCAGTAAGTCCTTGGATAATCCTGACTTGAGAGCCTCAGGACAGCCAATGTCGGGGGAATGGCCCTAAACGATTTTCTAGGGATAATAGGAGTCATGAGGTAGCACAGCTTAAAGGCGGAATGGGATAAAGGATCGGTTCAAAGTCATTAAAGATCATATGTCCACTTTGGTCAGTTTAGAAATTGGATCATACCTCTGCGGCATGCTTTATAAGCCATGTCTGCTTTAAGATCCTAAATGATTTAGTTCCTATATTGGAGATGCATTCACTAATCCACTCAAATTTTGCCTTTAAACTTGAACTGATGTAGTGCAATGACATTCTTTCTTTCTTTTAATTAGTTTTTACATTGATACACTTATATTTTCCATTGTCAAATGGAAGATATAAAGATACTGTACAAGTACATTTTTGTTCATCAAAGTACAAACTATGTAAATAGTTTCAAAGGTAAACAATGGATTTAAGGTTCAAATATGTCCCTTAAATGGGTAGTTGTATCTTTTCACAGCCTAAGGTTTAAATAGAAAAATAATAATAAAAAGCCTGGAGTCAATACTTGTATGGAGTCTTTGTGTATGGAGTCAATGTAACTTAAAAAAATATAATTGCAATTGAATGAGGAGCAATTTTGTTCCCTAAGGTACTGAAGATGTACACTCATGTGACAGTTTTATACTTTTTTTGAGAGTGTAACTATTTTGATGGAAGGATCTTAAAATACATAAATAAATAAAAACACCTTTTTTGTGCATCACATTTGCCCAGACAGTGTCCAGTTACACTCACAACCCCTACAGTTATGTTTTAGAGCTGCCACTGTAGTGATATGGTGACTATGAATCTAGTTCTGTGTAAGCTGGCAACCTTATATTTGTCATGACTACTTTTTCACCTCCTTAAAATCCTAGGCTTGTTATTCATTAACTACATGGACAAAACACAAAATAGCTGAGTTATTCTTAAGTTATAGAAGTTTGGACCTGCTGCCACTTAAAAGGTTAACAATAAAAGGTTGTATGAAAGCTCAGCTTTGTTGTTTGTCTTTTTTAGTTGTGCTTTAGAATTTGGGCTGTGAAAAATATTGATAAGTCTGCAAAATAATCACATGTTAATCCACAGTATGAGGTCCTATCTAGCCAGCAAGAACAAAAAAACCCACATGATTTTCGTTGGAAATAGCATATTAATAGCATTTTTGCTATTGAACATGAATTTGTCCACTTGCTTCCTCTTCATTATATTTCATTATTGAGAGCATGCGATTGGCAAAGATTCAACCAAATTGAACCAAGTGTTCTATGGAAGTTTGTCTTTGAACAAAGAATTTTTAACCTTTCAGGCTTCAGGTGGACCCAAACTTCAACAGCTCTAAATTGATACAGTCTACATGTAATTTAACAGTAGTTACTGAATACTTCATAATAGTTACTGAACACTCTTAAAAACAAGGTGCTAAACAGAGTGATTTTGAGCAATGCCATAGAAGAACCACTTTTTCCTAAAGAACCTTTCAATTAACCTTTTGATTAATTTTTGAAAATAAGATGTTTGAGTATGAAGAACTTTTATATTTAGTATTCATTTATGCTATTTCTTTAGAATTCATTATGTGTAAGGGTGTATAATAAGTCTTCAGATTAATATCTGAACAATGAGCCTAGGGTTTGAGGGTTAATCTGGGTTTGAACCTAAATCTGAGTGGACCACACTTGTGAGATATCAGTGACTAAATGGATGGTTGTAATGAAGCTGTGGTGGGGAGGGAAAGCCCCAGACGAGAGGTCATCTAACTTCCCCTGGTCCCCTGCTGCTGCTTCTGTCATGGTTGAGGATCACAGTAGTAACTGAACCTTCTCTGTGTGTCGTTCTGCCCTGTCACCCCATCACTCCCACCCTGAACCCCGGCTGTCGGGACCTGTGGCTCTAACCTGACACCTGGCTAGACATGCAGCCCCTTTTAACTCAGAATGAGCAAAAAACTAAAAGGACACTCATTGCCCTCCACAGCATGAGGGCCTATCTAGCCATTAAAGGCATAGGAACCCTAGCAACAACCCGCCACCCTCCAAGACTTGACCTCCTGAACTGAATATGTGGCTCTCACACACAGTAAGCCTACCCCTGTAATGGGAGCAGCACGACAAGAGCTTGATTCATTGAACTTATTGAAGTAATGAGCGTGAAGGTTCTGGCGTGAAGAGAGGGAAAGATCAAAAGTAGAGGTGAAATGTCCCATCAAGGTTTAGCCATTCTAAGTCCAGACATATTACTGTTGTCTTCCTATACATGTATAGTAATATATCTGGACTTAGAATGGTTAAACCTTGGTGGAACATTTTTGCTAAAAAAAAAAAATAAATAAATAAAAAAAACTTTTAAACTTAAAAAGTAAGTGACCAGGTTAACTTGAAATGTTGAGTTCACTGTATACCAAATAATATGTTAACAAATGCAAAACTTAAATTATTATTCTCAGTTGAACTCAAGTTAACCCCACTTACTCTACTCTTACTCTACCTCTACTTTTTAAATTTAAAAGCTGCAAGATTTAGTAAAATATGATTTGCTGTTTTAACTTTAAGAAGTGAGCAACCTAGTTGCCTTAAAAGTTTGAGTTCATTCAACATCTAATAGTAAGTTAACATAACAATAAATTGTGTTTTATATTCTGTTAACTTATTATTTGAAGTTCAATTAACTCAAAGGGCAACCAGGTTACTGACCTTTTTAAGTTAAAACATTAAAAATATTTTTTTACAGATTTTTTTTTACAGTGTACTACTTAAATGTAATCATGTAATTAAATAATTAAAAACAAGGCACTAGATGTTTTTTCTCTTCACAAAACAAGATTGTCAATATTTTTTTGTTGTTTCTCAATTAATCAATTATCTGTAATGGAATTTTTTTGAGCACCTGCCCCAACACTGCTGCAGTCTTCTCCAAATGAGGCAAAAAGGCTGCCAGTCTATTTCCTAATTTGTGGCTTACTATTCATACAGGGGGCAACAAGCTGAAGCCGCAGCCGTTCCGCTTGAACTGGGCCTGGATCTCTCTGGAGAAGGAGTACTACCTGGTGGATGAGGATGCAAAGTTCCTGGAGGTGACGCTCAAACGCAGGGGCTATCTTGGAGAAACATCCTTCGTCAGTAAGCATTGACCAAAAATAAGTTGCAATGTTTTCACTTAAATCCTTTAGTAACCAAATCAGAAAGGTTGGTTCAGAATTGAAAAAAGCTGTTTACTTAAAGCAAACATTCTCAAGCTAATTATATCTGATAAGATATACTAAGAGTCCCAAAACTTCCCGTTTAAAAAACTTCCTTGCCTTAAGTGTGTAGAATAAAGCTCATTTTCACAATCAAGAATGCAGAGGAAAGTGAGGCTCAAATTCTGAAGGAATATGGCAAGAGACAGACAGTAGCTATGTTTATTACAATGTGTGTAATGCACACTTCCATATTCAGTTTAATATATTTTTGGATGTTCCAGGTTGTCTCTTGTAAAGCTGTTATTTTTGTAGCCTTGTAACAGTGAGTTATTGAGTCCTACATTATACCTCAGCTTTTATGACTTGACAAGCATGAAATTCTTCTTGGGGACCTTTGACAAAAGAGTTGTCTTGCAGAAATTCAAAGCATAGCAATACAAATCTACCTTTAAGAAAGCCAACTGACCCCAACATCACTCTAACATGTCTTATTATAAAGATCTGAAGCTTATAAACATATACTTTACACTTGCTTCAGTATCTTTGTTGTTTTGTACCTACGTAATTATACATGTAATTTAGATGAATTTCAGTTCTTTTTTCTCCAACACCTCTCTTCGCATACACTGTAAAACTGCTGTAATTTTACAGTAATTACGATAAAATATACAATAATACACTCTTCTCTTAAATTACAGTATGTTACTTGATTGTGCTATGAATTCTGTGAGCTTATGTGCATTCATAACAGTTTATGTTCCTGTAAAAACAAACCATTGCAGAACTTAATACAATACACAAAGCAATGTCATGTGTAAATATTATGTACAAGATTTTAGTGCATTACACATGATAGAAAAGTGGCATCATCTACCATGTACATTAGTGGCTTTGATGGTCCATGTGTAAGAGGCAGAGTCAGTGAATCAGGGTGTTGTTGTAAGTTGTTATATAGAAATACTATCTGTAGAGTTTAGCCGCCACTATGCACTGGGTATTTTGATAATACAGGGTGATTCAAAAAGATTCATCCGATTTCAAAGCGCCATACTTTTACAACCATTAGGCGCCTAGGAACCAATCACATACCAATTGAAAGAGGGGGGTCACAGAGTTTCTGGCTGTCAGTATAGCAGTGAACCTCCAACAGCTCAGATCATTCGTCGTTGGTACCAACAGTTCCAAGAAAAAGGTCACCAGCATCAACAGATCTCACGCTGTGTGATTTTTTTTGGGGGGGGTACGTTAAGGATTCTGTTTATGTGCCACCACTCCCAACAACACTGGATGATCTCCAAAATCGCATTGAAAGAGCCATGAGCACAGTGACACCCGACATGCTCAATTGAGTATGGGATGAATTTGACTATCGCGTTCATGTTGTCCGTGCAACTGGAGGAGGTTATATTGACCACTTGTAAAATGACATAATAAACTTTATGCTCACTTACACCATTTACAATTTACTGCATTGTTCTGTAAGGATTTACAAGTCAAATAAATCATTTTGAAATCAAATGAATTTTTTTGCTCATTCTGAATTTTTTTGTCTAGTTCACTGTTGTTTTACTCTTTGTACTCTTTATCGGTAAAAATGTCCACTGTTGAGTGGAGATACACAAGAACCTGCTACAAACAATTGTTACTGGAAAGTAGGCTACCAGTAGCTTAATGTAAATTTTACAGCATTTTCTACTTTTACACTGTAGCGTAAAGCTGCAGTTACAACTGTTACTCTACCTGTTGTATTTGATTTCTCCCAGGCATTGCCACTAAAGATGGCACTGCTAAGAAGGACAAGGACTTCCGTGGAAAAGCCCAGAAGCAGGTCCAGTTTAACCCAGGCCAGACAACGGCCACCTGGAGAGTCAAGATCTTCACTGACCAGGAGTTTGAAACCTCAGAAACCTTCGAGATTCAGCTGTCTGAACCAGTGATGGCGGTCCTTGAGTACCCAGACAAAGCCACTGTGGAGATTGTGGACCCTGGCGATGGTGAGAATGAACAACCCAGCTGAAGCTAAGGACAATGGTCATCATGTTAGCCATGATCTGAAGACCAGGAAAATACACACACACAGATTGATTGTTGTACATAAAATGTTTTGTTTATCAGCGGATGTGGTCTGTGCTAATGCGTTTATTTTTATCTTTTGCAGAGTCCACTGTGTTCTTCCCTCAGGCTGAGTATCTGATAGAGGAGGACATTGGTGAGCTGCTGGTTCCCGTGCGCAGGTCTGGAGATATCAGCCAGGAGCTTATGGTCATCTGTTACACACAGCAAGGTCAGTTCTAACCCAGCAGGGGCCTAAAGTATGGGTCAGGTTTTAACCTTCTCCAGAAAATTTCAGCTTTAAGTGGCTGAAATGTTCCCAAACCTACGTAAGAGATCATTACACAAGCAGTAGGCTCAGTGATCTTAAGGACAACACAGAGTGTGGTATACAAACTGCTTGATGAATTCCATATTTATGCAGATTTTTGAGCTGTGCGTTTTCACATCTTATGCCTTTCTAAAGAAGATTTGGTCATTGATTTAAATGTTACTTGCACAGTCCTTTATGGATTATCTACAGATACTCCAATTAGCTACTCTCTGAGGAGACTGAGGTTAGAAGTAAAGCCCAGGGTTAGGATTTAACAGATTAAAGTTAGCAATACAGCAAGATAAAATTGAATTAGTTAATTAATTACAGAATTACAGATGTTAATGTCATGTTTTTTTCAAGAAAATGATGCTCTTTTAACTGTAAACATTCTCTGACATAAAAATGGGCTTAGCCCAAAATACTAATGGTTTTTACTGATGTTTTTGGCCTGATCAGATTTAAACTTTATAGAGAATATTTGGTCTCATATTAAGCACCAACTAGCTTGGCAATGTTTTCCAACTGTTTGAAGCCACCAATGCTGAGTGGAACATGATTGACTCTTTCTTTAAAGAGCTGTCTGCAAGTTTACCCTCAAGACTTTACCATTTGAAGAAATCAAAGGCAAAAGTTCTCCATATTTAGTTACTTTACCGATTTACCTGTCAATCTATGACCAGCAAAAGCTTAATGTTTTGCAATTTTGGATGGGAGTGTGCTTAAAGGTGAATAATTCTGACATTAAGATGTCATTCAGAGTGATTTCATGTGAAATGGTTCACTGAAGAGAAATGTGCTGGCTTGAATTTCTATAGTGGTGGTGATAGGAACCAGGGGTCACAACGTAGTAATATAAGTGTAATACAGTCTAGTTATTTTATTCACTATCCAGCACCACCAGTGAACCCACACAGGTCATCTGAGTTTTTATATGCAACTGATAGTGGTAAAGTAGGTTAAAAAGAAAAAAATAATAAAAAAAAGAATAAATTAAGTGAAAAAAGTGTTAAAAACAAAATATTTGGGGACTATTTTGCCTTACAACACCTTGCATGTACCTAACCATCACAAATAGATAAAAAAAATAAATAAATAAATAACTGAATAATAAGCCTGAACTTCAAGGTTAAGGGTTCTTTTATATCACTTCTTGTTCAGGAACTGCCACCGGCACCATCCCCAGCACGGTGCTCTCTTACTCAGACTACATCACTCGGCCTGAGGACCACACCAGCGTCTTGCGCTTTGACAAGGATGAGCGGGAGAAGCCATGTAGGATCATCATCATCGATGACTCACTGTATGAGGAGGAGGAGAGCTTTAACGTGTCACTCAGTATGCCCATGGGAGGCCAGGTGGGGGCCAGCTTCCCCAGCGCTAAGGTAGTCATCCTGGCAGACAGCGATGATGGTGAGTTGTACATATAGTTCAATACAGAGTAATATATCTGTCCATGATGACCCTTAGGGCACATGTTTGAATTTAGTAAGACTCAATTATAATCAGGTATAATAATATTGGATAAAGTATGCCAAAATAAAAGTCTTCGGCTGTTCTCAAATGTAAGAATCCTCAAAACAAAAATATTTGTGTTCAGTTTTTTATTGTATATTCCACTTATTCCACGCAAATAGTTCCTCTGGTCACATATTTGAATTCAGTGTCTTTTAAAAAATAATAACAGAAAAATATTCAAACTAAGTCAAATCTAAATGACATTTAAGATGAATTTGAGATCTGAGGACTCATAATGAATAATTATGAGCTGGACTATGAATATTAGTTACTATATCATTATAGTGTATTAAGTTACGAGAGCCTGTTTTAGAAAAAACGGCCCTTTCATTATTTTCACCTGCACCAGCAGAGGAAAGTTGACTTTCTTGTGATGCAGAAAAAGAACACGTGATCCTTGATTACTGATATTGTGTTTGAATGAAAGCTTTTGTTTTTGCTGCTGAGCTATAGAAAGAAAAAAGAAAGGCACAAGCCTTTGATGTAAGATCTGAGTTATTCAGGATGTGGCTGCTTTCCACCCTTCCAGTCATTTAATGATGTGGAGTCTAGAATGGTAACAAGAGACATTAGATTCTGATTCAGTTCATGTCAGTATTATACAGGGAAAAGCTCTCTGAACTCAGCCCAAAAACATGGCGATATCCGGTAACACACAGAACTTCTCTTTAGCAGTGCTTCTGTTCTTCTCTCCTACTCCTACTCAGTCATAGAGTTATAGATCAGTTGATCTAGTTAGTCCTATATAAATGTCTGTAATGAGAGAGTAAACTTGTGCTAGATGGGGAACTAATGGACAGATAAAAGAGAGGTCAGAAAACTTTGGTCAGACTATCAAACTCAAACCTCAGAAGAAGTCTAGAAGCCTAGGTAGATAATCAGAAGTTGGTAACTCAGCTGGTATATGTTTCTTGCAATGGGAAAGTTGTTTGTGATTGTTTTAGACAGAGATTCTGATCTGTACCGTTGTTGTGCATATTTTGCATCAAACCATCAAAGCATACCTCGGTTTTATTATTTTATTGTCAGTTGAATGTTTTGACTCTTTTACACCATTAGAGCAATTTGTAGATCTATTTGTGTTAGATACAGTACTGTGCAAGAATAACAGACCTCCCTCCATACAATAAATTTCCAGTCAAACTGGCCATGAAGTATGAGTTATCCATTTTCAGGTGATATTTCTGAGGAGATTAGATGTAAGAAATGGGAAAGTAAAAGGAAAATAGGTGAAAAAACATCAGTTTTCAAAACTGGAATGCAAACAATTAAAAGTTATAAAGAAAATGGAACTCTTAACAGTGCAAGACATAGCAGGCCACCATCAGATAAACAGCACTTAAAACTCTCATCTTTGAGAGAGAGGAGAAAATCAAGCTCCACTCTTGCTTCACATCTGAAAAAAAAAATCTGAAAAAAAAAATCCACAGATGTTTCGGTCCATTTTTTTAGTGCGGTTTCTCGAGCTAACTAAGAGCTTGTTTGGGCTGTTGTGTGTTAGTGTGCTCTTTAAGATTAAGACAGCATTTAGGATTAAATCTGCACTGAGATTATTTTGATTAAAAGAAAGTCGGTGTTATGTTATGACCTTTAAAATACCTTCTATCACTTATCTTCTACAAGTAGGGCCAGCTTCTCTATGCCCTGGCACTTTTGTGTAAATATTGTCACCAACCGGACTGCATACCACGTGTTGCTGATCTGCACTTTGCTGTCTCTTTGATGCCTGTACGTGCCTAATTCTTTTTGGGCCACCTTTACACACCAACAAGTCCTTTCATGACCCCATCGTCTCCATTTGTTTTGTTTGTGCTTCATGTTTCTGCCTAGTTGCTCACTTGTTTTTGTTCATTTGTCCATCGTTTGTCCTTCAGTGTTTGAAAGCACTAAATGCTCTCAATGAATGCTAGTTTTTCTTCTGTCACCATGTTAAAGCCATCTTTGGAAGTCTGGTAACATGATAGGCTAAAACAAGAGGATGCAGTTCAATAGAGTCCAAGAGGGCCCATAACAGTCGACAAAGCTCTGCAAGGCCAGATCAAAGTGCTTATGGACTCATGTCCATACAAGTAGAGACTGAAACTAATAATAGTCCTTTTGTGTGTGTTAGCTAAAAGCTATAGGGCTGGGCAAAGTAAATAAATGGGACTATACTTTATAAGCCTGTTTTCTCAAATCTAGATTTGGTACCTTGAAATTTTTTAATTTATTATCTTTTCCTTAATTTAATTTTAGTTATTGATCATTTAAGAGGGATTTGGAACATTTGTGCATAAAAGATTTGGTCAGTAAAACAGATAAGTTGTTACAATAAGAAAACCTTATGTGTCTGAAATGGTATTTTAAGATGTAAGAAACATCTTAAATTGCCAGCACCTACCAGCAGATCCAAACCATCATTACACACTTAATTACATTACTGATTAATGCATTTACAGAATAATAGTTACTGAATAAAAAGCCATGCAATAAACCTGGTATATTATGGGGTAATCAAGGTTTTGCATGTAGTATGTAGTTCCATCTTGAAGCTTAGCTGCTGTATGTTGTATGTTGCTAATACATTGTGACTGTAGCCCTCTCATTCAGGTACAGATTTTAAGTTCCATTGATGACTGCCTTGATAAAAACCAAAGTAATTTCCAGCTGCTACCACAGTGTGAATTTGTTTATCACCGAAGTATGTTGAGTTTTTTAAGTAAGCAAAATGCCACTGATTCTTTAAATAACCCAAATATCAGTGACATTAGCCTAGAGGACACCTTTAGGAGACTACACTGGACAGTGCCTGTGGGAGGACTACAAATAAATCAACAACCTGCAAACAAATAAAACAAACAAAAGCAATAACCAAGTAAAAAGCAGAAAGAACAGTTGACTGCTGACTGTTAACTGGAACTGTTGTTAATTGTTGCAACAAAACCTTGTATCTTCAAAATTGCAACCTTACTAGAGAAGGAAAAGGAGTTAATGGAACCACATTTTTTTCTATGTAATTTCATAGCATTTCTATTGCTCCATTCATCATGAAATTGTGGCACTGTAAACAGCTGCTGGCATTTTCAAATGATGTTAAAAAAATGACAAAAATACGGATACAAGGTTTTGTTCTGACAGCAACTATAAGATATGTATGATATGTACACTCAACATGCAGTCACTGGACGTCGATGATGTTCAGTTTATGGAATAACATGATTTACATGTTCAGATTCATGTGAACTCTGCGTTAACATGATAAAAAATAATCTTATTGAATTGATATTTATTAATAAATACGTTCATTTATGACATAATTATGTAGCTGTCACAAAATGCTTTGCTTTTTAAATAGAAAAAAGGGAGGCAAACATGATTAATTGCACAAAATAATGCAATTATTTTAACAGTTAACAGACCTAGTTTCTTTTTCTTTTTTTGTTACAGCAATTATATGAAAACATATCTGGCCACCTTCTCTTTTGAATCTACAATCAGCATTTATATTTGGAGTTTTGTCTTTTCGCGATACTGGGTCATTGCTGGTGTCGTTCTGCAGTTTAGTCATGATTAAAAGCCACATCCCCCTCTTTCAATGGTGGTCTCTCCTCTCTCCTTTTGAATGTCCTTCCACTGAAAGACAAATGAGGGTGAACCCAACCCTGAGAGAGATTTATGGCTAAATAATGTATGTACATTTCTGCACTCCACAAGTCTAACGTGACAGAGAAGAATTCACACACACAATGTGGACCACAGCTCTGGCCAGACTTCTTGGTGGGTCTAAGAACTCAGTGTGTGTGTGGTAAGGGTAGAACGGGGGGTGTGGAAAGTTTGATTGGACTTAAGCCAAAGCTGGGATCTTATTGTTGCATATATTCGGACTGTCTTCTATAGGACATTTGTGGGAGCAGTGTGTTTCCCAGTCTAAACCCCTTTATGCCCCCCCAACTCCCCTCTACTTCTGCCCTCCTTTGCTCTACTTTCACATGCACATAATATAGAGTGTCTTGGCTAGCTTTATCGGCCAGAGCTGTCTAGACTGTCTCTTGGGGCAGGATGTAGGCAGCGACAGTAGTTTCCTGTGCTCTTATGGGGTGATGACACAAGGAGTCTGTCAGAGGCACTAATGGGTCAGACATGGGCCTGACTCACCTGGACATTCCTAGTGACTGATGGGAAAGGACTGTATACTGCACTCAGTGAGAAGCAAAGCAGTAAAGCAAAAAAGCCTAGAAACATTGTCTTAAACTGAAGCAATACACCCAAAGAGGCTGTACTTTACAGTGAGTTTATCATAGGTAAGGTGTGATAAGGGTTAAAACCCTTTACTCGTGGACTTGAGTGGCTTATTGCATTAATAAAATGAAATACTCAAATTTTCTATAAACAATTCAATGTATTATCAATAGTCATGATAATATATTAAATTGTTTATAGAATAACATGATATACAATTCCTCCACCAACAAATGTAATTTTTGTAGTGTAGGCTAAAACTTTCACCTTAAAAGTAGCATCTTTATGAAATACCAGAGCCATAATGCTAATTTCTGCTAGCGCCTCTAGGTGATTTCCTGTATTACATCAGCATTTAATGGTGGAAGCAGTGCCACGCATTTATTTTCCCACACTAGCTTTGCTACTTCTTACGGCAGACCAAAAACATGATGATTTGAAGCTTGTAAGACATAAGAAGCTTGTAACATATTATGCACTTTGTTTGTTGCAGTTTTACAGAGTTCAGTTCAGAGCTTAACACTGAATATTAACAGGGGAGCCAGTTGCCTGTTAGCTGTCCACTGAGCTGATCAGACTAGTTCTAAAAAATAGGTTTAAACAAAACCAGTTTCTTATATACTGTACATTATGTACTGTTTCAAGCTATTTACTTCATGCACTGATTTCTGGTCCCATCACTCAGTAGGCTCTAGGGTCCATGCAAGCAAAGGCACGTTAATACAGAATTAAGTTGTGAATGACTGTCATAGATGTTTGTTTAATGAGTATCTTATTATGTATGTTTTTCAGATTGTGTGGTTAGAACTAATAATCATTGCAATGAGTCGTGTTCAAATGTTTTACTATGTAATGATGATTGTCTTGCTAAGGCAGTTTTGTAAAGCTAAGTAATAACATCATCGTTTGAAATTCAAAAATAATGGCAACATTTCTAAACAATAAGTAACAGTACACAAATGGCTTAGATGACAAATTGTATGTGCTGTTACTAAGAAAGGAAATGCAGATATTTGGTGAATAAAAGTCTGAAGTAAGAACAATCTGCCAGTGAAATGTACATATTGATCTAAATGTAAATTTAAGTAGAAATTTATACATTATTCTGTTTTGCATTGGGTTTTAAGCTGATGAATGATGGTGATGACCATTATTGATGGAAAACTTTGTGCCTTACAGAGCCATCCCTGTATTTCGGAGAGACTGAGTACACAGTGGATGAGAGTGCGGGCTATGTGGAGGTGAGAGTGTGGAGGACAGGCACTGACCTCTCCAAAACAGCCACCGTCACTGTACGCTCGCGGAAAAGTGAGCCCGTCTCAGCAGAAGGTAAAAAGTCTAGTACTGCAGGAGGAAAGATTTGCACTTTATACTATAAGAAGTGAAATGATAAAGGTGTGAAAAGAACATATTTATAATTTGAGATCTCTTTAGTAAATAGATTGCATCTGAATGGATTTTTTCTCTGTCTCCAGCGGGTCTGGATTACGTGGGCATCAGTCGTAACTTGGACTTTGCACCTGGCGTCACCATGCAGACATTCCGTGTGACCATCCTGGATGACCTGGGCCGTCCAGAGCTGGAAGGGCCAGAGAAGTTTGAGCTGGTGTTACGCATGCCTATGAACGCTGTGCTGGGAGAGCCCAGCAAAACCGTCATCACCATCAACGACACCGTTACTGACCGTGAGTCCACCAGCCTCAGCTAGATGATCCGATCCTGTTAAAGAGTGGACAGCTGAAAAATAAAGGGATAGTTCTGAAAAAAATAAAATACAATGAACACAATTTTACCCAAAATGATCAGACATGTTTGGTGTCTGAAGTTTGAGTAGTTTTGCCCTAGAGCTACGAGGCAAAAGTAGCTAACAAGTAATAGAGGCTTATACCAACCAATTAGCGTTGTGCAAACTGCTTGCTAAATCATCAGCAGTTGCCTCAAACCTGTGTACAGTTGTTTAGTAATCTCAAATACACTTGCTTATGTGGTTTTTAACACTGTATGAGATACTGTATCTATAAAAATCCAAATTTGATGCAAACTTCAGACACCAAACATGTCCTGGCTAATCATAAGGAGAGAGTTGTGTTAATTTGAGCATTTGCTAACTCTTACTGACTTTAACTAGTTAGAAAATTGATTTGAGTCACAGTGTTTTGCTGTTCAATGAGCAGGACATAAGATGTGATGTTTTATATCAGCACTGTATTTAATTCATAGTTCTGTATTCTCAGTTCCAAGAGTGCAGTTCAGGGATGCGGAGTACAAGGTGGACGAGGCTGATGGACAGGTGAAGGCCATGGTGTACCGCAGCGGTGACATCAGCCAGAAATCCACCGTTCGCTGTTATACTCGTCAAGGCTCCGCCCAGGTCATGATGGACTACAACGAGCGGCCCAACACTGACGCCTCCATCATCACCTTCCTGCCAGGTCAGCAAGTCTCTGATCATTCATCCATCTGATTCTTCATTCGTTCATTCATGCACCCATTCATACCTTTATATATTGTGCAAAAACAAATAAGTAGATAAGTAAACATAATTCCTGTTGTTATAAAAAGTTTATCTCCAAGAAAAGTTTTACAAGATGTTCTTAACATCTATTAATGAAGCTTATAGAAATGAAAAAAGGGGGCTACTAGTGGTCCATTTGCTCTGAAATGTTCACACAATGTTAGGGGTAGATGGAATAATAAAAAGTTAGAGTTATGAAGATTTCTGTTGACAGCAATGACCTAATTGTCCTTATAAGTTCTTACAATTCACACTTTGCCTGTGTGTTTGTCCACAGGTGAAAATGAGAAGCCGTGTGTGGTGACCTTGGTGGATGACTCTATTCATGAGGAGGATGAGGATTTCCGACTGGTTTTGGGAACACCCAAGAGCAAGTCTCCATATGGTGCTGCACTGGGGGAGCAGAAGGAAGCTCTGGTCACCATCACTGACAAAAAAGACAGTGAGTTCACAAATGCAGTGTGTGCTAAAACAAAACACGTAAAACTACAAAAGACCAAGACAAGCTCCTCCACAGAAATCTTCATTTCTTCATTTCCTTTCTTTTTTAGTGTGGAATTTTAGTAGGAAGTACATTTGTTTGTTTCTTTCTTTCTTTCATTCTTTCTTTTATTGAAGCACGTGTCTTAATAATCATCATATATAGTGTGTCCCAATTCACGGGCTGCATCCTTCAAAGGATGCGTGTCCTTCGAAGGCTGAACCGAAATAAGACAGTCTGCCCTACAGCGGATTTTCTGTTCGCGTCACAGCACCGCTGTTTCCGCCCTTACTGTTGCATCAGAAAACACCGTTCTTTAAAGACAGAGCCAGAAAAGGTTAGATTTTTGTTTTATTTTCTCATTTGTTGGAGCAGGAGATACTTCACTGCCGACTACTGATAATTTTTTTTAACATTTGTGTTGTTAGCTACTCGCAATACTTATATTTAAAATTGTACTCTTCAGCCACCATACGCTCCTCTGCTGATTATGCCATGTTCTTGGATCCTTGCCAGCACGCAATGAACCTCAGGATATGTTGGCTGGCGAAGGATCCACCTGTTCGATCCTTCGTTGCCACGGAAAAGAAGGACACATTTCTCGGCCGCATATGAAGGAGCGTTTGAAATGGGAAAGCCTAGTCACGCCGCTGTCAAATGCAGCCTCTGAAAGACGCAGCCCCTGAATTGGGACACAGCTAAAGACATCTAAACCAGAGACATTATAAAGGAGGGGGAGACAGTTCACTGGTTGAAAAATGCGAGTAACACTCAACATGGTGTCTGTTTAAGGGGGAAAGTCCTGCCCTTCAGTAAAAAAAAAGAGCCAATCAGCTTGCTGGAAAAGACACAAGTGGAAAAAGCCTTTGTTGTTTGTGGAGACATGCACACGTGCAGTAGCCAGAACAAGCTGAAAAAAGACATTTTTTGTTATTTGAGCCAAGCACTACAAAGTACTCATTCAATGTTTCTGTAACATTACTATAGCGTTCTGTTTGGAGTTTTAGTCTTTCAACATTCATAGAGACAGGAATCTCTTTGTATGACTGTGGCTGACTTTATCTAACTGAGAGAAAATATATACAATAAAGTTGTAAAATATATATACCATTTATGCTTCTAGACTAACTGACAGACTACACTGCATATAATAGTTTAATATCTACAGTTTGGCGTTGTCTCTAAACTTAACCCAAGCCTTTTGTGTTCCCCTCCTCCAGAGGCTATCATCAGATTCTCAGAGATTAAGTACAGCGTGAGGGAGCCTCAGGTTGCCGGGGAGATTGCCGTAGTGAAGATCCCCGTCCTCCGCCTAGGTGACACTTCCAAGGTCTCCGTGGTGAGAGTTCACACCAAAGACGGCTCTGCCACGTCTGGAGAGGACTACAACCCCCTGTCTCAAGGTCAGCAGACCGGATTATATGCACTGGCTCAAAACTACAAATCCAATACTGACGGAGTGAAAGTGGAAAGTCTATAAAATGCAACAGAATTTTAAATTGTGATAGATTCTCCTAAATCTAATCCCAATTCTAACTCTAACCCTAACTTCAATCCAAAATCTAAATCTAATCCTAAACTTAACCCTAACCTTAATTTCAACCCAACAGATGTGGAGTTTAAAGAAGGAGAGACGGAGCACGTAGTGGAGGTTCAGGTTCTGTATGACGGACAGAGGGAAATCCGTGAGGCCTTTACTGTCCATCTAAAGCCTGACGAATACATGGTGGCCGAGACACAGGTTAGAGGTCATCGACTGTATAAATATCTCCACTGACACAACAACATACACATACAGACACATATACACACACTCACAGAGTAACATGCCTTTACCTCACTTGCTAAAATAGCCACACAGCAGCTGCCTCTGTCAGCGGGGGTCAGTCTCTGTCTCCTGTAGAGGCGGCCAGTGTCTCCCTCTGTGTTGCGTGTAATATGAATGTGTCTCCGAGGACTCACTGACCTATAAACAGAGCTGCACTCTCAGAGTGCATATGGCTGCATACAGCCGTCAGCTCAGCGCTCTTCAAAGTAACATTTAAAGTAGTAATGTGCAGTTATATCACTTTCTTCACTGATACATCTATTTTATCACTCTTTAATAAGAGAAGGATGGGTTTCCTGTTTGCTTCGTCTCTTGCATCCTCTCAGCATTCCTTTTTTGTGCTTATAGGGAGGTTCTCCTTTTGGGTCTTGGTTCCTCTTAATAGTTCTTCATCATGCTCTTAGGGAGGTTCTCCTTTAGAGTTTTGGTTCCTCTCAGTGTTCTTCCTCATGCTTCTAGAGTTTCTACCAGTTGAATTGAAATGGCATATCCATGCTTCATCTATAAAAGCGTTCATTTGTAGCAACTGTCACAAAGATGGACAAACTTTACACAACGTATAGTAAAAATTCCACTAAACCTAATGAATTTAAAGCCGAGTTTAGATTATATAATGATGTTATAAATGGTTATAATGGTTTCTGGTTTAAAATGTTATGCTTTCAAGATGGACTATGGGCTTGTTCAGAAGGCCAGCCCAAATCAATATTTGGGCATATCCAGATTGTATCCAGATTGACAACAAAAAAACACACAAAATTCAATTTTTGCAAATCAGATCCAAACTACATTTGGAGGTAGTTCAAAATGGGAATCAGATTCAGTCTGTTCACACTGGCTGCTCGAATTGGATTTCAAAAGCAGCTTGTCCACTGCATGATTCATCTTTCAACTATGCCCACCTTTTTTGGTTTTCTATTTGGCAAACGTGGTATCTAGCACCTGGTACTGGGTACTATTTTTGGTATTACCTCTGTTGAGGTTTCAAGAGAGCTGAGCCGATTTGATGTAAAAATGCTGCAGACTACTAAATGGTTGGAGAGGATCAATAAACACATGCTAACGTGTGTTTAAGCAACCAGAACCATAGTCTAAACTCAGATGTAGTATTTCCCAAACTCTCCTTTTTTTCCCATGGTCTTTTGTCTTGCTGCCATCAGCCTCTTCTGAACAAAGTTTGTCTAGTTCATGACACAGCAGTTTCAAGTGGCATCGCTATGATGACCATCTACATTGAGGGGGTACTGTATCTGCAGTGGAAAACAAAGTAGCTGACACCAAAAGTGAGTAGAGTCGAGTATAGACGAGACATACCATGCAGTGGAAAAGCAGCTGAAGTGTCTTTTGCATCACTTGCAATACGACAAACAACGATAATGTCAAATCAAGAGTGACGGAAGTGCTGGGATTCAAGGAGAGTGCCAAAGATTCATTCTTATCTCTGAGAATTTTGAGTAGTTTGGAGGGCAAGATGGTGCACCTCCGTCTCTCCTGCTGCTGCATTTGAAAGCTGCATCACTAGCATAGCTACTTAGTTACTGACACCTACATCATTACCACAGTAACCCACGCATATAGGTTTGTGATGTCTGGACACACAAATCTGATCTGATCACTTGCAAATAACAGTGCGGACAGTCATCTCAAAAGATCTGATTTGAGTCATCAAAATATATATATATATATATATATATATATATATTTAATCTTGATAAGTGTGTTTTAGAATTTAACACTGACATCAACCTAAATCAGCTTTTTCAATGCTTTAGCTTTCATAGCAAAGCTTTCTGTGGTTGTTAATTGTGTTGCATTTTTGAAACATTGCTGATTGTCAGCTGTTTTCCTCTCCTTGTTGTCTTCAGATGAACAAAGCTATAGTGTACATTGAGGAGATGGACAGTGTAGCTGACGTCACCTTCCCCGCGGTGCCTCAGGTAGTGTCTCTGCTCATGTATGATGATACAGCTCGGACAAAGGAGCACCCCCATCCCCCAACAGGATACCCTGTAGTGTGTGTGACGGTGAGTATATACACACACACACATATACACACTAACACATATAGTATGTATGACTTATATTCTGCTTTTTTTCTGTCTGAGCACTGCTACATTGCACTTCCTCTTGCCCTTATTATTTTTTAAACTGTGTCTGAAGAGCAAACTATACAAATCTAATGAAGCCTTTTCTCAAATAAGCAAGATCAGTTTGACCAAGAATGAAATCTTACATTCCCTCAGGCCTGCAACCCCAAATATTCAGAGTTTGACAAGACAGGCTCCATCTGTGCAGTGGAGAACATTAATGACACTCTGACTCAGTACCGCTGGCTTGTTAGTGCCCCCAGTGGGCCGGACGGCGTCACCAGCCCCATGCGCGAAGTGGACACCAACACCTTCTTCACCAACACCAAATCCATCACGTTGGACTCCATCTACTTCCAGGCAGGCTCACGTGTACAGTGCGCCGCCAGGGCCTTCAATGCCAATGGTGATGCAGGGCTGGAACTCAGCTCTCCCATCGTGACCATCGGCCGAGATGAGGGTGAGGCTCCATTTGGGTGGCAACTTACAGTTTCTAAAAGAAGAAACAATAGAAGCCATTTTGCCCCCTACACTAGTGTACTGCAAATTATCATATGGATATTTTACAACACTTTTGTTTTTGTTTTGAAGTCAACACATTTTCAACTTTGTTTCAACTTTTACTTTCCAGTTTTCTCAACTAATCATTGCAGCCCTATCACCTATCACTTTATAAAGGCCAGTGCAGATCAGATGTTTTTCCGGAGCTATGTGAACACAAAAATCTGATCTTTCTAAACTCAGTTTCATCCACTTTCCTATATAGTCTTGACATGCATACCTGATAAAAAAGAAAAAGAAAAAGAATAGTCAGATTGGAAATCAACTTTACTACACATATGTATCATCCAGTGGACATGGATCACACACGAGGTTAATGAGATATAGTTAGTTCTCACACAATGACAGATATGAGTCACTGACAAACACAAATATGAACTGTTAATGCCAAAAGATCTGATCTGAGCAAAAAATTGGAATTGATCAAAAGTATCACATTTAGGTTTATATTTATCATTGGCAGATGCTCTTATCCTCAGCAACTCACAATTTACTCATATTACAGAAGTAGGTGAATATAGCTTAATAAGTAAGCATCACAGAGACAAAAACTTCAATCTCCTTTTGTGTTTTTCTGTAGGTCTTTGCCAGCCCCGCATTCCTGGTACTGTTGGTGCTGAGCCATTCTCAGCAAAAATCCGCTACACTGGCTCAGATGACCCTGACTACCCCAACCTCATCAAATTGACCATTACCATGCCTCACATGGATGGTGAGTGTCATCCTTTCACAACCATATATATGTTAAAAAAACAAAAAGGAAATAGGACAAGTGGTGTGTGTTAAGGAACTGATGCCTTAGTAACCACTTTCTCCCATTTGTAGAGTCTTACTTAGCAGATTAGATTAGCATAATTTACTTCAACATACAGTAAAGAATAAAAGGTCTGGCAATACAACTACTCTTTTCACTTCTCTACTCAACATTTTTATAAGTAGCTCAGCTGAATCAGGTGCAATACAGTAGAAAAAACATTGTGCAAGGCTGTGGCCTTCCAGAGCTAGAGCTGTACTCCCCTACAAAGATGACCTGGGCAGTCAGTCCTGCTGCAATCTTGCTCATGCACTGGTCCTGTGTCTGCTTTATTCAGGCATGCTGCCCGTCATCTCTACACGTCCTCTCTCGAACTTTGAGCTGACTCTGAGTCCGGATGGCACACGGGTGGGGAATCATCGTTGCTCCAATCTGCTGGACTTCAATGAGATCCAGACAGGCCACGGCTTCATTACAGACGCCACCAAGAACCCAGAGATAATTGGAGAGACGTTGCCATACCAGTACAGCTTGGTCATGCGCAGTGCCAACTCCCTGCGCTTCTACCGTAACCTCAACCTGGAGGCCTGCCTGTGGGAGTTCAGCAGCTACTACGACATGTCCGAGCTGCTCAATGAGTGCGGCGGATCCATTGGCACAGATGGACAGGTGAGGGCTGTGGGGAATGAGGTGATTTATTGGTTACTGTAAGAAAAGTTAACATGTTAAAGCCACTTTATTTGAAACCCCTACCTTGTAGCTTTACCTTGCTGATGTACAGTTGATGCACAATTTGTGTAAACCATCTTCTAGCCCTTTATCAATGGTCAATTTCTGACCACAGAGCCGCTCTTGGCAGGATATTTTTGGGTAGTGGACCACTTTCAGCCTAGCAGTGACATTGCTGTGTGCAAGAACCCCAGCAACACTGTTGTATCAGGGGAGAAAGCAGGAGAGAAAGAGCTAGAGAGAGAACAGTAGCTAAGTTTTAGCTTATAACAGTGTCAAACAGCACACCATCAGTAAAAGAGGAGACTGTGGCCCAAGAGAGAAAGAGTTTCCATGCCTCACAGCGCACACTGTGAAATACTAAGAAACCATATAAAAACACAAATAATAATATATGACCCTTATTGAGTCCTTCATACCCAATCAAACTCCATGCCTTAAACTGCATTTACATGTTGGCATTGAAAAACCATCAGAATTGGCAACAGTACACAGCCAACAGTATGCAAACATTGATATGGTGATATAATTGCCGGTGTTTCTCCCTGTGAGTGGGCAATGGTGTTATCCACTAGTTTGTCCTCAAAATGTTTTGAACACATGCTAATGTTTCTAGTAGTGTGTTAAGAAAATTGAACGCTGTGGTCAGCGGAATGTTGCCGCTGGTGTTTATCATTCCGCCAAGGCTGAATTGTCCATTGCTGCTCCGTTAAATAAAATGGAATATCTGGTTTGCCATCCTCCATCTACCACCAACATGTAAATGCACCACTAAGATTAAAGCCTCTTCCTAAAACACATAAATTTCATTGCATCAATCTATACACCTATATAGTGGACCTGTAAGGTGGGTGTTTCTAATAAAGTGGCCAGTAAGTGAAAGTACAAGTTAAAGGTGCAGTCTTTAAGATTCAGGGGAATATTTAGCAGAAATGGAATGTAGTATACAAAACTGTTTTCATTAGTGTATAATAACCTGTAGTTACAAATTATTGTGTTTTCATTGGTTTAGAATGAGCTCTTCATATCTACATAGGGAGCAAGTCCTCTTCCAACAGAGGCAATCATGTTTCACTGCCAGTAGCCCAGAATGGACAAACCAAATACCGGCTCTAGAAAGTGCCTTTTGCAGTTTTGCATTGAAGCGGCAGCTTGAATTAGATGGCTCTGTAACAATAACCTGCAATTTCACTTCTAGATGCCACTAAATTTTACACACTGTGCCTTTAAGTGTTCTTCTTTTTTTACAGCTTTTGGTCAGATGTAGACATATCCAGTTCTGACTGGCTATAAGATTGCATCATGTTTGTTTTCTCTGGTGTAACTCACATGTCAGCTATTTAGTCCTGTAATATCTGCTCTGCACATTTTAGAGTGTTTTTGCTCACAACACATCTGACTCAATGGCTCACTACCACTGCTACAGCAGGAAAAACACTAAACAGTGCAGTGGAACTCCAGAACCAGAATTGGGAACTATTATTAGTACTAGTAACACTATTTGCTATGGTACATTTTTATTTATGTGTGCAGGTGCTGAACTTGGTCCAGTCCTACGTTACTCTGCGTGTGCCTCTCTACGTGTCCTATGTGTTCCACTCTCCCGTTGCTGTTGGTGGCTGGCAGCACTTCGACCTGCAGTCTGAGCTGCGTCTTACGTTTGTATACGATACCGCCATCTTGTGGCAGGATGGTATTGGTAGCCCACCCGAGGCTGAACTGCAAGGTAGTCTATCTCTAATAACAGACCAGTCTTGTGGTTGTCTCAAGAGTGGTTTAACATCATCTATGATGATAAATGATCAGATGCTGATCTGTATATAGATATGCATGAAGAAATAAAAGTATACGAGGACAGCATATGATGCATATAGTGATGGCTCCCATAAGGCTCTCAAACCTTGTCAGCACTTCTATATATGACCTGAATGTTCATGATGGTATTACTTTGAGCTGTAATACAGATGGCAGTAATTGCCTTACAAGTATTCAATACATGTTCCCATATATGTCTTAGCTATAAGACCGCATACTGTACCATCATAAAATGCAATATAGTTACTGTAAATAATTCCAATATATTCTATTTACATTTAGGAACATATTACCAACAATATATTATTGTATATATTATATATTATAACTTTTTTATGTGCTATTAAATCTCCATAGGTGCCATGTATCCTACCAGTATGAGGATCAATGAAGAGGGTCGTCTGGTTGTCAACTTCAAGACAGAGGCACGATTCAGGGGGCAGTTTGTCATGTCTCACCCAGGTAAGGATCATTAACACTGATACGCACATGTATACAGGAAGGTGTCCAGTGGGTCATGTTGACAGGCCCCCTCTATGACTCCTATTGAGTTGCATGTCCCAGATTTATTTTAGCTGCTATATCCGGCCTGCAACCTAATGACTATGACCTTCCTGTGTGGCAGGAACAGGGTTATTCAATCCACTCAGTCCCATATTCCCACCTAGTGGTGACTGAATGTTGGTGGATGTATGTGATGAATTTGCTCCCAAGTGATGCTAGCAAGTAGTGTGTTTTGTGCTAGGACTTTAAAGACTCAATCTTTTCATTAAAAACAAGCTTTTGGACTTTACATTCACATTTTGGTGCCTGTGGAATCTGAAAATGTGTTAATGTTTATCAGTGTTGGGGGTAACGTAGTACAAAGTAACACTTTACAGTAATGTGATTGCCTTTTCCTGTAAGGAAGAAATGTATTGCATTATTGCTAATATTTTAAAAAGAAAATACTCCAGATTCTTGAGACTTCAGCAGAAAAGATGAGTGTTCAATTATTTCTCTGCAAAGTGTGGATAACTTTCAGTGATTTATCACATACATTTTCATTGATTTTCAATTTATTCATCACTTCAGCACAAGCCAATGAAATCTTGCGTTTCACTTTATTGATGTCATCGCTTTGGTAGCCAATGGGAATGAGAATGCAGTATATCTTCCTTTTCAAAGTGCACAACATCCTGTAGCAGATTGCAGAGCTGAGAATAAAAGCTTCTAGTACCCCCTATAGACACCTATAAAAAGTGCATATGAAGACCATGCCAGTACCTTTATATAGTATTTGCCTGAAATAAGCATGTGTATGCTCCAGATTTTTTTCAGAGCTTCAAAATACACCCAGAATTGGCTTGGAAGGTTTAATTACATGCAGTGCTTTTAAAGCATATATTTCCTCTATATAGATTATCCTTGTACCTAAATTGTGAATGTGTGATACCTGCAAAAGCTGACTGCACAACTTTGACTGTAAATATGATAGTGAGTGTGGGCAAAAACTTTCCACTGTTTTGAACTCCATGAGCAATCTGTTGAAGTATCTATTCATGCTGATGTGAAACTAATGGATAACAAATTATGTCCTGTGGAAGAGAGAAGCCCAGCTCTGGGGCAACTCTTTAAGCTTTTTCTTTAAAATAGCATGAGCTATTCATTAAAAGCCGGGATAGTGACAAGTTTTTTAAATGATGTTTAATGTAATTGGCTGGTTCTTTTTCAATAAAGTCATGAATTGGATTTTCCTTGTTCTTTCTAATTGGTACAGATTTGTATAGGTTTTTTGCTGAGTAACATAGATGTTGAGCAATGAGTAGTGAGATTACCTTTCCAGGAAGTAGTACCCCAACATTAATGTTTATTGAATTACATTTTCATAAAAAAAAAAAAACAGTTAATATTTAAAATAAGGGCTAAATCATGGTCCTGTCCATTTGCTTGAAGGTTTGAAACAAATCCTCGTTTCGATTTAAAATGTCACTCTGACAAAGTGACTTATCGTTTCTACAGGAAGCAGCCTGTCATCCATGGTGATGTCGGCAGATCATCCTGGACTAACCTTCACTCTCACTCTGATCCGAACTGAGCCCACATACAATCAGCCAATGCAGCAATGGAGTTTTGTCTCGGACTTTGCTGTGAGTAATCCATGCAAGCCAGTTTGCCATTTTCATTTATAAATCATTTCTATTGATTTTTTTTTATTTCTTTTTGACCTACCAACTACCATATTTCACTGGTCACCAACCCTGGTCCTGGAGATCTAACTTCCTGCAGAGTCTAGTTCTAATCACAATCAGTCACACTTGATACAGCTACTTAATGTCTTCAGAAGCCCTTGATGGGCAGCATGAAACTAAACTCTTCAGGAAAGTAGATCTCCAGGAGGAAGTTTGGTGACCACTGTCATATAGCTTAGACTCCACTATGTGCTGACAATGCAAACATGAACAAATTATTTATAGCTTTCAAATCTGGTTCTTACATTAAGAGCCATATGTATTGCATGTGAAACTTTCAGTCCATGTTTTAGTATGATAGAAAACTTCCAGGACAGAATTTTGTATTCTGAAACCTTGCCATGTTTCAGTTTTCATGTTCTTTATAATAAATGTTCAGTCATAGTTCTGGTCCAATTAATAGTCATTTCAATAAATGAACTGGTTAGTTTTTGTTTGTTTGTTTTTGCTGTTAAAAATAAGCCACCTAATGAAACTGATTTGAGGATATGGTTTATTTCTGTGTGTGGGGGTGTGTGTAGGTTAGGGACTACTCTGGCACCTACACAGTGAAGCTGATTCCCTGCAGTGCCTCTCCTAATGGAGAATTCAGTATTCCACCTGTGTGCCACCCCAGGGAGCCACTTACCTTCGACATGGACATCCGTTTCCAGCAGGTCAGACTCAGCCCCACCACTCGCACACAGCTACAGATTTTTTGTTTCGTTTTTCAGAGAGGACTCTACAACCGTATCTAAAATTATTTGGTTAAAGTTTTCAAACATTATTTACTTTAGAATTAAATGCACTGCATGTTATGCGATGTAGATCAGAAGAGCATACAGTCATATATGTAAATGTTTGGTCATGTTTTGTTGATTTTCTAAGTGAAAATAGGTAAAATAACACATCTACAGGGAGCACACAAATTGAAAATTTTCTGCTAACTTCAATGCACAATTTCTATTTATTTGCTATATTTAACATACTGAAAAACATAAAATCTAAAATGTGCTGTAAGTTTTGCACTGGCCACATTTTATTTTTATTTTTTCCTCAGTATGCTAAATTCAGCAAATAAACAGTAATTGTGCATTAAAAGGGGTGCCTTTTGCAAACGACTGTATATATTATGTTCAGAATGTGCCTTGATGCAACTGCAATATGTGGCAACAATACTTCAGAACTTTTACTTCGCTATTTTCCAACCTCTCTTTATCCTCTACAATTAAACAGACTGTGCCTTGAAGACATACATGTCTAAAGGATCTCTCTTCTGATTGGCCGCCTTGTATTACACCTTATTCAAAAAGCAGTCCAGACTGAAAAACAATAGCTTAAACCGGAATGGGAGGGTCTAAATTGCTGTAGGCTCAAAAGGCGGAGATGCTTAAATGTGCTGTTTTAGTGACATCACTAAAAACACTGAAATAAAAACAGGTTGTTTTTGCTGCTCAGTTGGCATGTACGGACTGTATGGATTTGGGAGAGTAAAAACTTTGAAACTTTAACAGTGTTTACAAACCATATTAAACTCTTATTTTTAAAAAAAAAAAAAAAAAGAAAAAAATTTGTTTCCATGATAAAGTCACTTATGCCTGGTTTACATGAAACTAGCCACTGCTAGTTGCTCAAACTTTAGTAAATTGAGTGTAACATAATTAGCTGCATTTTCAATATCCCACGCTGTTCTGAGTGGCTGTCCTTTGAATGCGTAAGTGGGGGGCAGAGAAGAGCATTTTTCCATGAGGATGACCAATAAACTACACATTTAGGCTCATGCACTAGTTTCACACATAACATGCAGCCAGAATGCACCTGATTTGCGCCTGAAATTCGTCTGATTTGCAGTTCACTGTGTGGCCAACTTTGATCAGCTTTAATAGCAACTAGTTTAGAATAAGATGAAAGCAGTGAGTGAGTTATATGAAGCCATGATATCGCTCTGTTTTTCTCTCAGGTGAGTGACCCTGTGGCAGCAGAGTTCAGTCTCAACACACAGATGTTCCTGCTGTCTAAGAAAGAGCTGTGGTTGTCTGATGGCTCCATGAGCTTTGGAGAGGGCACAGATACCGCTTTCACTGAGGGTAAGACAGCTGAACTGAAATTAACTGAGGATAAATGGTTTCTGATGTACTGCTGTCTAATGCAGTACTCACATATCAAAAAAATAATGCACAGAAATATTCAGAGTTTGTGTGATGCTGGACTGTAACTCTTACATAACAGTAAAATGTACATCTACCTTGTTGTTTCTTTCTCTTTTTCTTTCTTTATTTTTTGAGAGAGTGGTGCTACTACAGTGACCTCGGCCTTATGATGTATGTCAGTCTAACACTGGTGATGCTATCATGAGCAACTGTCAAGCACAGTATGGTTTGTCTTGGTTGTTATGCAGGTTCTACTATCTATGGCCGTGTAATGGTGGATCCGGTGCAGAACCTGGGAGATTCATTCTCCTGCAGTATAGAGAAGGTCTTCCTTTGCACAGGCACTGATGGATATGTGCCAAAGTATAACCCCACCAATAAAGAGTATGGCTGCCTGGCAGATGCCCCCTCACTGCTGTACAGGTTCAAGATCCTGGTATGCCATTTTTTTCTCTAAACTTGGATCCCACAAATTGCCACTGTTTTCTCCATAACTTTTGGTATAAACTCTATGATTAGAACTGAATGGGCCAATAAAAATGGTCCAAAAGGATCAATTCTACCTCACTGGCATTCATCAGCTGTGTTAACATTGTGTTTTATGTGACTATGTTTGCCATCTAGGACAAAGCTCAGCCTGAGACCCAGGCTACTGCCTTTGGAGATGTGAGATTTGATGCCAAACTCGCAATGGACACTCCAGGAGCCCTTACTCTGATCCGACAGCCGGGGTCAGACGGGTTCACACTGTCCTCCTCCCCACTCTTCCAGGTCAGAGACATACCTTAAATACACTCTGCTTACCAGTGAAGCTCTGATAAACTCACTGGACAAAAAATGCATCGCATGCGTCTTTTCTTCTCTAATACTTGGTTAAGCATTCAATTGCCCTAATGACAGTATCATTCTTGGCAGGCAAGGATTAAACTAGCCTCTTGAGATGTCAATTTTGGGCCATTCTTTACATGTGTGCCTATTTCAGCATTTCACTTTCTGTTCCAAATTCAGAATTGGGATTGTGGTTTACTGATTTTGCTACTTAGTCATATAGTCCCAGTAGTCCTTACATGTCAGGATTGGCACTGTTGTTAAGGTTTTTTAACCAAGCGTTAGCAAAGAAATAATACACACAACTAATATGTAGTGAATAAGCAATGGAAGCTTATATCCCACTTCTTAGCACTGTGCACACTGCATGCCTAAGTCATCACCTCAAACCTTGTAAATTTGTTAAGTAATCTCAACCAGACTTACTTATGCAGAAATAGTTATGTGGTTTCAGTGACTCAATTGCATATTATCTATGTTAAAAAACAAGAGTAAGAATAAGTGCAGGCTTCAAGACGGCTGATACTACAGTTTAAGCTATGTGACACTTTTGTACTTTTCTTATAGATAACAGTATGTCATACATATTGTATGTCATACAGTGTCAGAAACCACATAAGCAAGTGTATTTATCTCCAGTGCAAAACATAAGAAGCAAAATATCTTGGATGATCAGCTATAAGCAGTAATTCTGGGACACTTCTATCATCATTTGTTATTTAAAAGTATTTAAGGTGTTCATGTATTTTGGAAATCGTGCCTTACCACATTAAAAGTACAAAACTGCTGTACTATCACTTATCAAGCAATACTTTGAGCCCAAATAAGCAATAGAAAGCTAGAAAATATTCACCTAACCCTCCACTTTATTTCAAACAAATGTTGGGACACCAGTCCAATGCAGGGATCTCCAACAGACCATCCAACACACCAAAAATGTCTGTGAGAGGTTATAGATACACTGAAAATTCCAAAATCAAGAGTAAAAACTGTACTTAAATAGTGGAAAGAAACAAGAAGTGTTCAAAACCTACCATGATCTGTCCATCTAAAACATCCAGCAAGCCTGGTTGAGCATTAGCTGTCATTGAAAATGCAATAAAATGCTAACCTAAATAAAATGCTAAATACAGACCTACATTAAGAAAAGAAATGAAATGAATATAAATTATTAGCATATTTCTGTACTTTAATTACAAGGTAATTTGGAGTTTCAGTTAATAAACATGGTTGTTAAAGCTGGTTGTCATAACTTTTCTGATGGATACAAGTACATAAATTATAAATTTATCTCTGAAAATAATGAACAAGATATAAAATTGAGGAGACAGCAGATAAAATAAAAGCATATTTTATTTTTTCAGGTCGCAGCTGGTCGGGAGTGGTTCATCCACACTATTTACACTGTCCGCTCTAAAGAGAATGCCAACCGTGGCATCGGTAAGAGAAGCCTGGAGTACCACCATGGCATTTCATCTGTTCTGCCCGAGTCTGGTGCCCTGACCCGCCACCGCCGAGCTGTGCCTGACCCAGAAGCTCTGGAAATTGGTGTGGAGAACAACCGTGGCACCAACATCCAGCACATCGCCCTGGATCGCTCTGACCGGCTCAGAGTGAGCCAGCGGCAGCCGTGGGGCCGTGAGACCTACCTGGAGCGTCCCCTGGTGGAGGGGAGCTCAGGTAAAGAGCCTGGCTCTGACTCAGCTCTACCAGCAGGCATGCCCACACTGCTGGGAGTGTCTGGGCTGATCCTGCTGGTGTGCCTTGTGGTGGTTCTGGTTGCTCTCTTGCTCCGGCGTAAGAAGAAAGAGAAAGAGTATCCACCATACTCCACCTCCTCCTGCTCAGCCTACAGCGGCAGCAACAGCAGACAAACCACGAGCACAAGACACAGTGGAGACAGTTCAGAAGTTTAGACATCGACACTGAGGCCTTCCCTGTCCACAAACACGTTCATACCTACTTGTCATGATGATGCCTTCCTCCCTATGAGCACAACAGCTGGCGGAGAGGACGTCTTAGAACGAAGAAGCAGTGGCGACGAAACAGAAACAGGGAGAAATTCAGCTTTGGATCACATTTAAGGTTCATTCACTTCCCAAATGACTTTGCTTTCCACTTCTATACTGTTCTTATAAACTCCTAGCTTCATCCTCAACAAGCACTGAGGACTTCCACACATGCAGCAGATTTCAGAACAAAAGGACATTGCTTCCAAAGTCTCTCAAAGAAAGTGTTCCAAGCCTCATAGAGCTGATATGATGAGCAAATCTGTGCTTTGATGTTAATTTATCCTAGTTGCTGATGTTAAATAACATTTTTTTAGTTCTTAAGTGCTGGTGCACATTGTGTGGCTTGTAGAAAATGACACAGAAATAACATGATGTCACTCTCAATATAAATTTTCAACATCAGTCTCACTTTGAAACTTTGATTTAAAATCTAAAGCAACTACCATCTACTTCTACTAAAACACATAAGACGACTCAGTGTTAACTTAGGCAGGTAGCATAGGTCAGCCGTCTTTTGACCTGATCTCAGTCAAAATTCTGAGATTCAGCTGTTGGCAATAAAATAAGTTTACCGTAGAATCTTTGTTTTAAGTTCAACTTGTAAACTTTTCTGTTTTGAATGTGTGCCAGAAACGTTTTTGCGATAAAAATAGATGTAGAAAAGCTGGCTTATTGAAACATTTATGTAATAAATGTATGTATTTTTATATTCATGACACACTGCTGTGTACAGTAGCGCACACTGGTGTTCCCATGTCGACAGACCATTTTTATGGTGCTATAAAAAGGGACAGTGATGTTTCATTTGAGTCATTTCTAATGCATAAGTATTCAGATTTTTATACATTTGTCAGGATGTGTTCAAATATGCTTCAGAATTACACATAACTGTGTATAATAATTATCTTGTGTATGTATGTGAGTGCTTATATATACACCACCAAACAGAACAATGCCAACAGAAGGTATTATTGGTATTATTACATCCTGATAGAACTTGAAAAGCTGTGAACCACAGGTTGTGATTGTTACATAATTGTTACATGTGGTGATTTTTTTTCTTTCAAATTGCATAATTGGTTAAAAATTCATCAAAGGCTTATAATATGCTGATTATATGTCCATATTAAGGTGCTCACATTAATAATCATGTACATGGTTTTAATTTGATGATGCCACTTTCAATTTATTGTTTAATGTATTAAAGTTACACTGCCAAATACCAGCTTCACAGCAGTCACAGTTTCCTTGTTGCCAGCACAGTAAGCAAAGTATGTTAAAATATGTTCTCAAACTTGTATGTTTGCTCTAATAATTCAGTGCAAAATCAGTTAGAATCTGGAGGTAAACTTTAAATTTCAATATCATTGCTGTCAAAACCTCATAAATCCATTTTTAAACTTTCTTTTACACCATTTGAACACAGCAGATGCTTTTTGCACCGTGTGAACATTTCATGATAAATGGACCAACGGAAATGGTCCAAAATTAATAAAATCTCATTACATTACATTTAAGTTATAAAGTTACCCTTGTAGGAGATACAAGGTTTTGTTACACTCTTAACAAAAAAGATGGTTCTTCAAGGGTTCATTAGTAAAGGGGACGGTTCTATTTAGAACCATGAGTTCTGTATAGAACTGTTTCATGCTTGGTTCTTTGCATGGTGAAATGGTTCTTCAGAGTGATAGAGTGTTGTTGTATATGATTCCATATAGAACTTTTATGAAAATTGTTCTATATAGTACCAGAAAGTGTTCTTCTATTGTTATGAAGTCAAGCTTGTAACAATAGAAGAACGCTTTTTGGTGCTACAGTTTCAAAAAGGTGCTATATAGAACATCTACATAGGTCAATTACAGTTATATAGAACCTTATACAACACATACTCCGTCAATCTGAAGAACATTTCACCACGCAATGAATCTTTTAAGCATGAAATGGTTTTATATAGAACTCACTGTAATAAATAGAACAGTTTCACTTTATCAAAGAACCCTTGAAGAACCATCTTTTTTAAGAGTGTAGGACAGCCATGAGATGTAATGAAATGTATTACTAAGAAGTTACTAAATGTAGTAAATGTAGCAATTACAAACACACAGGCCCACAAATAAGTGTGTCTTGCAAAATTGGATCTAGCAGAGCTTTTATACAATACAGTCATATGCAATCATAGTCAAGTGCCATGTTGTGTTGATTTTCTAAGTGTAGATAGGTTGAAATAAGTGAAAATCCTCTACAGAGAACACATTTTAATGCACAATTACTATTTATTTGCAGAATTTAACTTAAAAAAAAATAATTGCTAAAGCATGGCCTGTGCAAAAGGAGTGGCATTTTTCATATTTTTGTGAGTTTTTTCCCCCAATTTGTTAAACTCAGCAAAGAAATCAAATTGTGAACTAAAATTTACAGACAAATGGCACATTTTTAAGCTTGTTCCTGTGCAGGATATGTTCACATGTAAATTGACTGTGGCTGTTCAAACATTTTTAAAAGGTCTTCTGTCTTTAATTTGACAACTGTTACTCTTTTTTGTTCCAAATAACAACATAATAATAATTCCAATTCAGCTACATAGACAGCTTTATCAAGTTCACACAGCATGATAACAAACTTAGTGTTCATAGAAGAAGGTGAAAACTTGTATGTGGAGGTATGTCTGCAGATTCCAGTAAGTACTAGCTATTTGATTCTCTCCGCCTGCTGAAAAACAAGCTAAGGCCAATTACAACTTTAAACCACCTGACTGTAAATTTGCCATCAACACAAACAGAGAAAAACAGAGTAAAACATCTAAGAGAAGTCTTAAAAGCCTTTCTCGAAACACCAGAAAGGTCTAGCAGAAACAACAGAAATATAGGTTTAGTGGAGAAGCAGAGCAGATGGAACATGGTTGTGTCCTATGGCTGGAGTGTCAATAACCCATTCTTGTGTATTTCAGACCTAGCAATAACTGAATGTATCACCCCCAAAAAATAACTATACTTTTTAAATGCATGACCCAACAACTTCTCAGGTCAGGACTCAGCAGTCTATCTACATCTAAAAGATATAAGCAACTTCTATGATGTCAGCAACCTACACATTTTGGACAGAAAAGACAGTAACTTTGATAGATATAGAACAGAAGGCAGCTAACCCTTAAAAAATAAAGGTACCCTTAAAACCCTTTTGTGCAATGTGTACAGAGTGTTGTTAAAAGAAGAGGTGATGCAACACAGTAGTAAACATGCCCCTGTCCCAACTTTTTTTGAAATGTGTTGCCGACATCAAATTCAAAATGGGCATATATTTTTCAAAAAACTTTCTTAGTTTCAACATTTGACATGTTGTCTTTGTGCAATTTTCAATTAAATATAGGGTTTAAATAACCACATCATTGCATTGTGCACTTTTTAAATTTTGCACAGTGTCCCAACGTTTTTTGTAAAAGGCGTTGTAACAATATGTTAGCACTAAGCTAATGCTGGTGCACATTTTTGGCTGTAAATTACACACTGACATCTGAATCTCATAACAGACATCCCATGCATTTTATTTTAAGCTTGTATCTGATGTTAAATATATTTGACCTCATTTGTTGCAGTTTTATGGTGATACTTTCAGTAAAAGCCCTGGATAAAAATCCTGATTGGGTGTTTCCTTTGCTTCCAGACAGAGCTGAACAATTAAATCAATAATTGCAGAGTTTAAATACAACAAGCATGACTAATTATTTAAACAAAAACTAGCTATTATATTTTTAGTTCCTAGAGATCATTAGAAGCCTAGAAGCCTTGAGGGTTCCTCACTGCACAATACAGAGGTTATGTTGTATAATGAAACTTTGGGAGGTACATTTTTATAAATTTGGCAGTTAACCCTTAACTAAAGAGTTCCCTCACAACTGACCATTATCTCCATAGCTAAGCAGAAGAGCTGTTGTTCAGACTGGGAGTAGCAGTTATTTGTGTTCTTAAGGTCTTTACAGTTGTCTGGTTGGCTTGTTACTGCACACACTGGTTATATAAGCCCAACAGCTTTGCAGCATTAATCATGCGTGACTGTTAAATCAGTGAATTAATGTAATTTAATAACAAATGGCTCGTTTGACCTCTTTGGTACTGTCATAAGAATGAGGTTTATATACAAGTGACATGTAATCCAAGAAGACTGGTAGTGAATTGCAAAGAAGAGAAAATATTTGGTTACATATATTTCAGGTACGTTTTATTGTAAGTCAGCTCATTTCATACATTCTTATAACTTCAATTCCAAATCTGATTTGTTTTTTGGGGGGGTTTACATAATTTGAAATGCCAGTAGCTGTTTACATGGTGTCAAAATTGCATGATGGATGGAGTAATACAAATATGCAAAAAATTTAAATAAAGTATAGAATTTACAGTAAAATCTCTGAATATATATAATGATTATTTGATGATTTTCAATGATTAATTGAAAGAAAACAACTATTTTGCCAAGAACCTGTAGCACACGTTTACTTTTCAAGCGAATATTTTAACATTAAACTCTTCTAAACTCCTGTTCAGTTGCCTTCAAGAGTGCTTTTACTTCTACGTCAGTAAAGTCTGTTTGAACAGAAATAACTGGAACTGTATGTCCAATAGCCTTTTGTTCTATAAATAATAGGCATCACACACCTATTTACTCAGAAACCCAAAATGGCAAAGCCAAATCCCTATTTAAATGTACTTAGTCTGAATGTCCATATACAAACTCAATAGTATATGTCCCTATTCAAATAGAATTCCATAACAGTATCAGTGTGTTCCCTTGGATAAACTGTTTTGACCAAGAAGAGCTATCTCTTTTTTACAAGTGAGAAACTCAGATGAACAAAAACATCATATTGCCTATCATGCACACCTGAAAGACCATGCACAGACACATGTAATACATTGCTTTCCCAGAAAATTTAGCTTCAAAAAGACAAAATAAAAACTAGACAAAAAAACAAACTAAACAACAATATTGATCCAATGTTGAATTTTCAATGATGACCATTGATCAACATTGTTGACCATACTTCAGCGTTGAATCAATTACATCTTGCTACCTGGGCAGTGGTCAAATACCTGAAGATTCAAGGTTTACAAGTCTATTTTGTCTGGGTTATTAGCAAATCTTAATATAATTCACAAACCTCACAAATACATAAAAAACCAAACTGTTTTTTACTTTACATTGTACACCTGAAACAACAGGTTTATACATGATATTTATCTAATAAAATATACAGTTACACAGTGACTTTATCATTATCATAGTGTAATTTCTTTTATGTTCTACTGAAGATTTTGTGTTTGCCAAATTTATAGTATCCTAACATAATTGGATGGATTTTTACCTCAGGAAAATTGTATGTACACATTTTTTTTGGAACAAGTTGTTTTACAGTCCCCTAAATTTTAGATAATAACAAGGTAAGTGTGAGGTAGTAGATCATTATTTTGGGTAACATGATGGTAAGTTCTGAAACAGTTTAAATTACACTTAATATCTAGAACTGGTTCTAGATATTAACTGAGTAAGTGCAGGGTACAGTCGGTCTTCAAAGTGCTGTGTAATTATTTTGGGTAAAATGATGACAAGTACCAGAAAAGTATAAATAAATTAAACTGAAATGACTAATAGGTTCTAGATATCAAGTGAGTAAGGACAGGGTATAGTCTTCAAAGTGCTGCGTATTTATTTTGAGTAAAATGATGAGAAGTAACAAGACAGTATAAATAAATTAAACTGAATTGACTAACAGGTTCTAGATATTAACTGAGTAAGCATAGGGTACAATCTTCAAAGTTCTGTGTAATTATTTTTGGGTAAAATGATGATGAGTACCAGGACATTATAAATTACACTGAAGTGGACTTACAGTTTCTAGATATTAACTAAATAAGTGTAGGTTACAATTTTTAAAGTTCTGTTTAATTATTTGGGTAAAATGATTATGTTCCAAGTTAGCATAACTAAATTACACTGAAATGATAAATGGGTTCTAGATATTAACTGAATAAGTACAGTGTAGGGTACAATCTTCAAAATGTTTAACTATTTTGGATAAAATGGTGAAAAGTACGAAAACAGTATAACTAAATGACACTGAATGCCAAACAGGTTCTAGATATTAACTGAATAAGTGTAAAGTACAATCTTTCAAAGTGCTGTTTAACTATTTTGGGTAAATTGATGATAAGTATGAAAACAGTACAACTAAATTACACTCAAATGACTAACATGTTCTAGATATTAACTGAGTAAGTTCAGGCTTTAGTCTTCAAAGTGCTATTTAACTACTTTGGGTAAAATGATGATAAATTACACTGAAATGACTGACATATTCTAGATATTATGCAGATAAAGGAAATTTTTACTGTAATGTCACACATTTAAGCAGGAAAGTAAATCAGAAACACCTGCAAGTATTGGGTAGTTATATGGTATAAAATGACAGCACAAAGAAAAAGGCAGTGTATGAGGTAGATTATAAAACCACAAAAATAGTTTTTGCTTTCTTTTATAGCCCAGATCCAGTTTTGTTTCTTGATAAACAGGTACATACTATGTAAGACTTTTCGTACTTTGTTAATGCAGAATCTTTTTACATCAGAAAACAATCCTGTACATTTTACCCAAAATAATTACACAGTGCTGTAGAGTTTGTACTACATACTTAGCCAGTTAATATCTAGAATATATTGGGAATTTCAGTATAGGTTATTTAGACAGTGGAACTTACCTTGGAACTTACCATTATGTTACTCAAAATAATTACCGAACACTTGTTAAAGAAAGTGTTATTTAGTTTTTAAATGACCAGACCATTCAAGAGGTCTACCTACTTCCTTCCTCAAACAACTAAATGTCTCAGGGGGCCGGTTTTCATTGTCCTGTCTGCCACTCCTTGACTTCGTTTATATAAGGTTGCACAAGGTTAAACAGGGAAGTCCACAGCAGTGATCTGAAGACTAACGCTTCAAGGTATGATTTTCTCATTAGCAGGCAAAGTCTGGCATTCTAGTACTATAAGTAATTAAAGTATTATCTTTTTCGAAGGTACTATTTATTACACCAATGCAATGTTTCTCTCCTCACAGATTGGTTGATGGTGACCATGGGTCTGCCGGTCAGAACATCTATCAGCTTCTTGCTGATGGTCTTCCTCATCCAAAGTTGGACTCTGGCCTTTAAATTTTTCTCATTTAGGTCCGTGACCCACGAAGCCATAACACGTGTTGCAATTTTAGAGACAACATTCGATCTCTGTAAATCACAAGCTCTCCGTAAGGGAAGGAATTTTGAGACGGTGAGAAAGAAGATATCAAACTTTTCTTACTGGTATTTCAAGTAATTTCATGAAATTATAAGATATAATTTATGGCATGTCTGCCTAAATGACTTTATTTATTACAGCCAAACATACTGACAGAAGAGTCACTGGCAGCAGTTTGCTCCTCAGCTGCTTCAGCCAAAGCTTTCAAAAGGAGCATTGAGAAAATCAATGGAAGAAATGCCTGGGTGGACGTACACCATGTCTCGAATCCTAAATACCACTTTGATGATGAGAGCTTTTTGCGTGGACGGGATCTGATCACCTCAGGAGTGAGAATTGTTAAGGCTAGTGTCAAGCAGCAGAGCTATGAAGCTGCCAGAGCAAAGCTCGGTGAAGTCCTGCACACTTTACAGGTATGGCAACAGGTTACAGTAGAAAACTGAGATAAAATCTATTACCGTTTAAATTTAACTCTGTATTGCCTAATGTTGCTTAAAGGCAACAAGCCCATTTTCCTCACTTCACAATGACATTATACATTTTTAATGAAGATGAGAAGCTTAATAGTGAAGGGAACAGTTTCAGGTCATCTCCCAAAGACCATTTTTAAACCTGTTTTGGGCTGGTGCTGCCTGTGAATGATGCATTTACTGTACCAGACAATCTCCCTTAGAAAAATTGCTGAAATTTTTCATAAAATAACAATTATTTCTATGATACTAAATATTAAAAAAAATGACACTCTAATTAATGTGTATCAGAATTTTCTAAGGGAGATTGTCTGGTACAGTAAATGCATCATTCACAGGCAGCACCAGCCCAAAACAGGTTTAAAAATGGTCTTCGGGAGATGACCTGAAACTGTTCTCTTCACTATTAAGCTTCTCATCTTCATTAAAAATGTATAATGTCATTGTGAAGTGAGGAAAATGGGCAATGTTTAAGCAACATTGTGTGACAGTGAAATGGATTTAGCCAGTAGCAGGTGAGATGCCATTTATGCAGTTGAAGTGGTCACTATCTAGTTTTTCATTTAAAATGATCTTTTATATAGAATCATATATTTTTGTTCATTTTGCAGATCTAACTCTAAAGTATTTTAATTATTTAACATGTATTCAATTTTAAAGGCTAGAGGCACCTTTCAGTGAATTTTGTCATGTAGCAGTCTGCATCCAGTATGTTTTCATTAGTACCATTAGTTTTGTTTTGAAAATGAACACCAATTACTGTAATTTTAAAATTACCTTACTCTTTTTTTAGGTTTTAGCATAGTTTTAGTAATTTTTCAGGAAATAGCATGTAATTGAACTATTTCTTTTTTCTGTTATTCTGGGATGTTTTGTATTTATTGTATTTAAAGATCAACAATAGTGTACTCAGTTTCATTCCAAATATTGAGATAAAAAGTCCTATATAAACTATATAACACTCAATATAATTTCTTTCAATTGTTGCACAATGTTGCCTCAAGGCAACATACCCTAAAAGGACCTGAACATTTATTGTTTAAAAAAAATGATTGATTTCAGTTCTCAGATGCATTTTATGCAAGAAAAGTGAACATATTGAAATCATTGCTCTACTAATGTGTGTAATAAAGTGTTAAGGATAAATTAGCAATCTAACCCCTTTCAATCCCAGGCTTATTACATCTCAAGGCTTATTTTTAAGTAACTACTTGCAAAACAATAAAATCAAAACAAAAAAAAATCATACTGTTTGAGTTATATTTCTGAGGAGCAGCACCCTGGGCATTTAAGGGGTTAAATGATATTTTCACATCTTAACATCTTCAACACATTATTTCTCACATCGCTACATGTCTGTCACAAAGGATTTCTACAGTCATAGTAACTGGATAGAACTGGGAAACAGAAGACCTTTTTCCAACCTGATCAATCCAAGCAGCCCAATTGACAACATTGCTGGTAAAACACAAGTCTGTTTCTGTGGTGCGGGTATATGGGTGTGTTTATGCAGGGCTTTTCTTCTTGTTACACTCCTCTGGATCTAGATTTCAATTGTGTGTGCTATTGTTTTAGTCAGAGTCAAACCAAACAAGATACAGGATGTGGGAAGACACGGAATTTCTGGTTGATTGAGACTGTCAGTCAGTGTCAATTTGTTGGATTGTGTATTTCAAAGACATGCCAAAAACTATAGGATGTGCAATTCCTCCAATGAGATCACAACTATTATAATTTTAAAGGTCCGGCACAGTGTCTTTTTTAAATTTCTATCAAAAACAAAGATTTCACCAAACTATATTAGACAATTCAGTGGCATTCCAAAAGTTTCCTAAAAATGGCATTAACATAAGTCTTTTGTACTTTCCACTTTTTTGTTGACATTTTCCACTTTGATGTGTGGGTGGGACCCTCAACATATGGCCAATTATGACCACCTCTTGATTGACAGCCTTTGTCAAACACAACAGTGCAGTTTATTTTCAAGGATGGCACAAACTAAATACTGAATGAGCCTTCAGACAACAACAATACAGAACATGAACCTGAACATGCACTGCCCCAATTTGATTCAAAATGAATAGTGTCCTTTTTGAGCTCTAAAGGCTTTATATTCCACTGTACAAAACCTTTTTGGCTGGAGAGCAGCACAGTTTGATTGTGTTCGTAATTTTATGAAATTCTGTAAATCAGCAATGTCATTTGTTTATAAATTTCACAGCAAGGGGGGGTATATCATTTTTAATTGGCAATAAATATATGTCATATATGTCATATTATATGGTGACTTTATAGTATTAGAAATTTTTTTATATATGTTTTATTAAATGGAAAAGTTGAACGAGCAGCTGGTGAAGAAGCTGCTAACTTCAGCTTCATTTGGCTCAAATAACACATAAAAAACATTTTTTTGAGTTGTTCTGGCTTTCCTATTCATATTTCAACCAGTGACTGGTCTCCACCCTTATAACGTCTCTACTTTAACTCCATTTGATTTCTTTTTCAAATCTGATATTGATTAATGATCATTAAGTCACAGTTCTGTAAGACTGTTGAGACAGTTTTGATATTTACAGCCGAATTGCCAGCATCTTTAACAAAGTGGCTGCAAAGACCAGAGAGTGCTTAGTTTTCTGACTGTTTCTGGATAATAATAATAAAAATAATAATAATAATAATAATAATAATAATAATAATAACAGCAATAAATTTCACTTTATTAGATAAATATAATCATTGGTTGAGTAAAGTGTTTAAATATTGTTCTCGCTTCACTGTGCATTCAGGTTTCCATAGCAGAGTTTGGCAGACACTGAACATAGCTTCAAATTGGCATTAAGAAATCAAAGAAGTTGGCTGTAATTGATTCTGTTTTCTCTGAATTCCTTTTTATTTATCTTTGTAAAACTGAAAGAAGTGAAAGAAAAGAACATTACAAATACTGAGATAATTAAAAGAAACAGTAGAAGTATTCATTGTCTAACAGTCTCGTATTGTACTTAAGTAAGCTGTGTACATACTTCACCATACACATCACTGAGCTACATAAAATAGCACTTAAAAACAGACAGTACACTTCATAACACTGTCTAATACCTGGATAAATATAGGATTTATAAAGTATATTCAATTATATTCAATGTTTCAAGAATCCTGTAATGCAGCTTTGATGAATATGAACAAATGAACAAATGTTTTAAATTAGCAATGTTTGCTAACTTTAGTTTAGTAGTAACATGGAATGGTTACGAATTCTCAGCCTGATGTGTAAAACATTGTTTTATGATAGTTGTGAGATAAAGGTTTGATCTAAAATGTATTTTAATCAATTACTTCAATCCATTCATGGTGGAGGGATACAACAAGGGTGTTTGAAGATAAATAATCCCCACAGAAAACTTTTTTTTTAGATTGACCATTATTTTACCATCGTTAACATCATTAACATTACTTATCCAGACGGGCCCCCAAAAAATGCCATTTTGGAACACCTCAGTCCCTACTCCCACCAAAGTCTGTGCACTCCTTATCTTGGAAGTACATAGTTTGAATCCTACATAAGAACACCTTTTTTTCAACAATCAGCAGAGAACTAACAGACTTTTAAGGGTTAATGTTAGAATTTAAGCTTGGATGCCTTAAATAACTAAGGACAGACTGGATAGCTGAAGTGAAAATATGTTACACGTAAGGTCGTACAAGCTTCAAATGTCAGTCTGTAGCTTACTGTTAACATATAATGAAAAATATAGGAAATTAGCACTTTGCTAACAGGATTAAACACTTTAACAAAAGCTCTCCACAAAAATATGTTATCACTGTTATCAATATGAAGCCACATAGCTGGCAAACCTTCAAGAAAAACACTAGAGGGTGCCATGGAGTGAGTCCTCAAAAAATGGGGATGAATGGAGCTAAATGCCAAAAATAAACTAAAATTAAACATGTTTCTAGACATCTATGCAGGATCTTTCCCTAATTTTGGAAAGTACAAGGATAAAGGCCTATTCTAACAAAATTCAAAGAAAACTTTATGATACGGCTTTATGTTCAGTAATTACAGGTCGGTTGGTCCTGGCCACTTGAGAGGTGAACGGATCATTAATAGCTGTATATATATATATATTTACAGTATAATGCATTTTAGAAAATATAGCACTAAATAATATATTAATATATAGCCTAAAACATTATTGATTGTTATTATACTATAGTCTTAGTCAAACTCTGCAATGTAACTGTAAGGTTATTCGCCTTTCTTCTCTAAAACTTATTTAGAATCATCACCCAAAGTCAAGGGCTGTGGCCCTCCTGTGGGCCATGGAGGTACTGCAGCTTTTTTATGAAAATTTATTACAGTACACATTTAACCAAATGTAATGTTAAATATAAATAATATAGTTGATTATTTACAAAAATCTGTGCTGCGTGCTCAGGGATGTTTTTGAATGAAGCTTTACAACCTAACAATTTACACCATCACTTGTAAATCACTTGGAGATTAAACATAGTGAAAATGTATCTAAACCTGTTGAATTGAGCCTGAACTCCTCAGTTTTACTCTCTTCAGCCAGACATTCAGCATGTGGCAGTTGCCAAAACAGCCTTCTCATCAGGTTAGTCAGAAAAAACAATCTGATCGCTCAAATCCACGGAAGCTTTTGTGGTCGTTCGTCTGGGCCGTGACTTGTGAACAATTTACGAGTTCACCTCACCCCGAAACCGAGACAAGATCCAAACAAGGTTTGAGAATGAGACTGAAAACACTACTGTTCTGTGTTCTCACATTTTGCTGTATAAAAATACTAAAACTTTACAAAACTGAGTTATGGAATGACTGAAATTTGGCGGACCATGTCTGAAATACAGCGTTAGGAGTATTGCATAGGGCAGTCTTTCTCAACCCTGGTACTGGAGGACCCCCTGCCCTGCACATTGTAGTGTCTTCCCTGCTTCCGACACACCTGACCCAACTAGTCAGCTAATTAACAAGCCTTTCCTGAGGTGAGTGTATTTTGGCAGGAAGCCACAAAAATGTGCAGGGCACATGGAGTCCTCCAGGAGCAGGGTTGGGAACAACTGGTATAAGGTGCTTTCCCAGGCAGGGAGTCAAACCTCAGTCTTCAGTGTGGAGGGCAAGGGTGTTATCCACTACACTATACCACCAATTAAACTAAAACAAGATGAGAAATACTGTGCGTGGGCTTTAAATGAAAGATTTTTTAATACATTAGAATAAATCATAATAAATCAGATGAGTATAAAAGCGTTCCTAGTAGCTCAAAACAGCTTAATCCTGTCAGTCACAACTACGGACCAGTTTTCCAGACTTAAATGAAGCCCTTAGACTATATTCCACACATTTAGAATTCTCCATTGCAAATAATGTGTAGGATAATCTACAGTTAACATATCCAGAAGATCAGCCCAAGATATTAAACATTATGTAGGTTTGTGTAGGGTGGTTTTATCATAGGCCATGTGGCATACTGAAAGTGAAACAAATCTCTCTTTATAAAACAGATTCAGCAACATGCAGGAGTTGTACTGGAAAAAACTGCACAGGAAACATTTTGGACGAGATCCTCAAAAAGCAGAAACTGACCTCAGGATACTTTGACATGTTCAACTCCAGTAAACCAGCAGGTACTGCATGCAATACTTTCCCATACATTAATAAAGACAGTTATAATTGTAAATTAAAATAATAAAAAATGCTTCTCACATCTTAAAGATAATTTTTCTATATGATCCTTAAAACTAAAATCACAGTTAAGCTTAATTATATAAAAGATGGTTCTTCAAAGGTTCTTTAGTAAAGGGAATGGCTCTGTTTAGAACCATGAGTAAATAGTTGCTTAAATAGTTTTTTCCCCTAGTGAATTGGCTCTTCAGATTTGTGGAAAATGTGTAATATATGGTTCTATATAGCACCAAAAAAGGTTCTTCTTTTGTTATGATGTCAAGCTTGTAACAAAAGAAGAACCATTTCTGGTGCTATATAGAAACAATTTAAAAAACGTTTCTATATAGAAGCACATACAACACATATTCAGTCAGTCTGAAGAACCAACTCACCATACAAAGAATCATTTAAGCATGAAATGGTTCTGTTTAGAACTCATGGGTCTAAACAGAACCATTCCCTTTACTAAAGAACCTTTGAAGAACCATCTTTTTTAAGAGTGTATCACAATGAAAATAAGACTTAGGCCCTGATTTACTAAAAGCTTGCATGTGTGAAAATAACAACAAAAACACAAACAAAAATGTCGTAGCTGATCTACTAATAGGATCTACAGATGGTTGCATCTTTCAAATGAGCAAAATATCATATGGAAATCTACCTTGTTGCACACACAAACAAGTACTCTTTGTGTGAGATCTTAGTAAACCAGGGCCTTGGTGACAAACATGTCCACCAATTTTACTCCAGCATTTTTAAATGTGTCAGAAAAAAAACGGTCAGACATCTAAATAGCCCCTTTCTATCTTCAAAAGCTTGTTACGTGTGTTTTCCCTCTTTGTAATACATTTATATTTTATTTCAAGGAAAGTGCAGCCATGGAGGATCTTTTGATTTGACAAGTCTTAGAGAGCCAAAAGGCGGCATAAGTAAGGATACTGTAGACTCAGAGCATGGCTTTCTACATACAAAGGCAGTGGAGGTAGCCATTGCTGCTACCAGAGAGCTACTGGAGGACATCAGCACAGCAGTGGGGGAGTCTGAGTTTCTTAGGTAACAGAGAAGTGGTTCAAAAAAAAATATTTAACATTAAAAAAAATTGTTGGTTTATCAGGCACAAGGTGCATCCCACACTTTCACACACATTGTTCATGCCAAGCCATACATCATAGACATCATATTTACATCATATCAGCATGTTTAAATCAGACAGACTAGCATTTCTAGCATCTGTTAGTGTTCAACTGAGCATTGAAGTGAGCAAAACAATGACCTTCGTGACTATGAATATGGCATGACAGGTGACACTAGGGCCCAATCCCATTTCACCCCTTGCCCCTACCACTTAGCCCTTAGCCCTCTGTTTTGCGTATTCACATCTAGCGTTAGAGTGTCCAAATTTTTGTTGAGATAGAGGGGCAGGGTGAAGTGTTAGGGCTACATGGCCCTCCAAACAGAGTTTTTTCAGAGGCACACTCCAAACAAAGTGTTATGAGAAAAAAAGAAAAACCGGCAAGATGGCTGCACGAGCTACCACAGAAACCCATCTCAGTTCTCAGTTAAATCTCAGTTAAAAAATTATGATAACCACTGTATTATCTACAGTTTCAATGTGTTATGATCGTTTTCTTCATAACAAGCACACAAAAATCGATAATAGCATGCTAATGTCTCGGTATCTAGCTAGCTAACTTTCTCATTCCACCTTAAATAGTTCAGCAGTATTGACGCCTGAAGCGCCAGAATGTAACTGCTGCACAATTTAAGGTGGAACGGGAAAATTCGAACAAAAACCTGGTGAATAGCTGACTTCAACTTCAGATCACCAAAGAATTAGCAGTGGGCGATAATAAATAATTGTCTTATACCCCCCCTTCTCTACTATCACTGATAGGCCAGGTCACCTACAGAGCACCGCTAGTAGCCTGATAATGAAGCAATTTATTTATTTTTTTTTTTTTTATTTGAGGGTTGTCCCATTTTGTAGGGCAAGATTTCAACCACTACCCCTTGTAACTCAGTTCCAAGGGGTTAGGGTGACACTCGAAAACGAGGGGTAGGGATAAAAAGAAGAAATGGGATTGGGCCTAGGAATGGCTGTTCTAGCTTCAGTTCTGGGCTTTTCAAATACAACCTTTTCAAGGTTCTACTAGCAATGAATCTTTTTTTTTTTTTTATTGAATGGCGGGAGTCATGTTGAGCGTTGGGCTGTGTTCACATGGCAGAGTGTATTTGCCTAAAATGGCATAATATCCTACTGCAGGAACATTGGAAAATGTTAAGCTTAAGTGGAAAGGCTTCACTCTTTATGTGTCACTTTTCATGATGTAACCAGTCAAAAAAGAGGGAAGATAATATAGAACCAGACTGTGAATGCGGGGCTATACAGATGCAGATTTTTTGCACAATATGCTCCACTGTCTGAACGCCTTTTGATTTAGTTAGTTCGGTGGCCTGCACAGTCTCTCAATCTCAACTCTACTGAGCATCTTTGGCATAAAAGGCTACTCACAACAAGACTGTGCTCCCATCCAATTAGCAGCAAATGCAGAATGCAGTTATTTCCACTACATTATTGCACAGTGCATCCAACATATTATAGGGTTTAGGTGAATTCATGCTGTTATGAAGGCCAAAGAAGGCACAATATAATATTAGGTACCTGATTAACTGGCAACTAAGTGTACTTGCTAAAGATTGTCCATTGTGCCTGATGGCCAGATTCCACAAGAGCCTAGCATGCTGTTGTTGGTAAAGGAATAAACTGTGTAGTTTTAACCACAGGATGGACTAGCCTACAATTTGCGTCATTTTTTTGGCCTGCCAATCACAATAGCTTTGTGCTGGTCTTACGAAGGAGTTATCCCTAATGAGAGAATTACACCTTAAAACATAAAACACATAAAGCATATTGTCACTGTTTACAAAAAAAGTGTCTCCAAAATAGTAACTTTACACGGGAATATTCTTGACTTTAAATGTAAGTTATTGTAAAGAGGATTTATTGTAAGTGATTTTGGAGCATTTCTACTGGTCCCTTCACCTTGAAATTTTCAGACAACAAAGGACACCTGCTGCTCAAATGCAGAAAAATGAAAATTGACAAAATGAAGAAACATGTTTTTTTTTTTTTTTGTTTGATATGAACATCTAGTGAAATTTCCACTATTTTGTCTTGAGCACCTCTAAATTTCATTCTGAATTTTCAGCCTGTTTTCTGATGCTTGTCACTCAGATTGATGGGACTGACCCAGACTTCAGTGCTGTGTTTCGTTATTGACACGACGGGCAGCATGTCTGATGACATTGCTGAGGTCAGGAGAGTTACTTCATCCATCATCGACAGTAAGGCAGGCAAAGCAAATCAACCCTCAGAATACATCCTGGTACCTTTTAATGACCCAGGTGAGATACTTCTGATTCCTTAAGCAGCGCACACAGCATGCAAGTTTATGTTGCATGCTGTGTAGCTAGAATAGGTATGCTTTACTTTTACAGTCCCATCTTGCTAATTGATTTACTGTGAAATTAAAGGCTAACTGATAATGACTACCACAAACTGTCTAAATTATGGAAATTTACAACTGGCTAATTTGAGTGCTGTTGATGATTGAATGCTCTTTGGGGATCTAATATGTTACAGTTTAAATTACAGATAACCTTCTCAGCATTCTCGATGCAGGGGCCTGCGTCCCAACACAGTATGTCTTGCTGATCCAGCTAACATTTTACTCACTTCATACATCGACTGGCCACTTCATTAAAATCACCTGCTTGTTTCTACACTCATTGTCAATTTTATCAGCTCCACGTACCATATAGGAGCACTTCATAGTTCTATAGTTACAGATTGTAGTCCATCTGTTCCTCTGCATACTTTGTTAGCCCCCTTTCACCTTGTTCTTCAGTGGTCAGATACCCCTCAGGACCACCACAGAGCAGGTATTATTCTCAGCACTGTATTGTTTGTGGTGTGCTAGTGTGTGTTGCGCTGGTATTAGTGGATCAGACACAGCAGTGCTGCTGGAGTTTTTAAACACCTCAGTATCACTGCTGGACTAAGAATTGTCAAAAATATCCAGCCAACAGGGTCCCATGGGCAGTGTCCTATGACCACTGATGTAGGACTGGAGGATGACTAACATCTAAGGTAGGTGTGGACAGTGAATGGACACAGTCTTTAAAAACTCCAGCAGCACTGCTGTGTCTGATCCGCTTGTACCAGCGCAACATACACTAACACACCACCACCACATCAGCGCAACTGCAGTGCTAAGAATGAATCACCACCCAAACAGTACCTGCTCTGTGGTGGTCAGCCACATTTTATCAGACTCATATTTATATATCTGAAGTTTCACATTTGAAATGTGGCATGCTGGCTGAACTAAAGACTTGATTGAGCAAATGGCAGATAGAAATGATTGCTGAGCAGTTATTGGAGGGCCAGAAAATCAGGCGGGGCTTAAGAGCAGTCTGTCAAAGAAATGGGCAGTTAAACATGCAGGAATTATGAATGATGCTAAAATGTGTTAAAATTTGATCCACATCAATTTATCGTCATTCTTGCGTTAAATTATTAGCCATTAAGAGACATGCTCCACTACCTGCAAGACACGAATACAGTAATATTTCAGAAGTTGTTGGGGGCTTCCTGACGGGGCCTTATGTGACTTCATAGGCAGAGCTGGCCCTGTGTAGCATAAACTCCAAAGCACTGTGTAACTGTTATAGGTAAACTCATGGTAGGTACCAAGACATAAATAGCTCATAAATATTTGGAGTAAGGTAGGCAAACTGATAAACACTGGTAAGTACAAATATACACTGTTTCAATGTAATGTACATGTATAAACAAACCTTTCCAAAAAAGTTGGGACAGTACATGAAATTTCAACAAAAAGGTTAGACAACGATTGGCTTCTATTACAACCCAGATTGAGTTTTGTAGGTTCATTTGTAGGTAATAACAGGCACATACTATATAAGACTCTTTGTACTTTGTGTACAACCTTTTTTATCCTATGCAACTACCTGCTACTTTTTATCTAAAGTCATTAGATACTGTGGAGTTTATATCTCACATTTACTGAATTCACACCCAGCACCTGTTGGGCATTTTAGGATCATCTTGTTAGACAGCATTGAAACTCACCATCATGTTTCCCAAAATAATGACCTAGTACTTCGGAATTAGCACCACACACTTAGCTGGGCCCAGTTTCTTGGGTTTCTTAGTGATAAGATCATCTTAACTGTAGAGAGAGTGCTCAGTGTGATGTTCTCTCTCTACCATTTAAGCATCTTTGTGTTCAGATGCTTCAGTGAAACACAGCCCTGGTTAATACCTTGACCTACAGGGATTCTAAAAGAAAGCATTAGCTCCAATAGCTAAATATTAGATGCATATTTTTCAAGTGAAAATGCATTGATTCACCAGCTATCTAAACTTAGTTTTGGACTTGAAATGATTAATATAAAGAAATAGCCTGGTTAGATAGACTGCAAATAGAGATAATGGTGAAAATAATGCATATTTTTTCCATCTTCTTTTTTATTCCCTCAGACTTTGGCCCACTGACAAGAACAACTGACCCAGATGTGTTTAAAAGCAAAATCAATGCACTCACAGCCGAGGGTGGAGGAGACAGACCTGAAATGTGCCTCTCTGGCCTCCAGGTATAGTTCAGTAATTGTCTACACTGGTGTTGTTTCAATTACAGATTTTGGCAATTTGCTTTTTTTATCACTTGTACTGACAAATATTTTGTATTCCATGTGTGTAAAAATGGATGAAATGTCTATAAAAGACACAAACCTGAAAGATTACAGGAAGGTTTACAACGTAGTGAGAAAGCACTCATCCTAACTATATGAAGACAAATTTATACAGTTATACAATTTCTCCAAAAACCAGTACTAACATCATCTTTCCTAAAGTTTCAAGTGGAAAATTTCATTCCTTATATATCATGTTGTTAATGGGAATGTCACAACAGTGTCAATTCACATGAAATACTTTGAAATGTGTGAGATGAATGTATTGATCTCTTAAAGCGTTTGTCAACTTATTAACCTGTTTATGCTTTTAGTTATGGGCTCTTGCGTTAATAAAGAATAGTTTTGGTCATTTCAATCAAGAGGTTCCCACCTTTGTGTTTCCTCTGTTGGATCTGACACAAACCAATCTCTTTCGTTGTGTCTGACTGACTCCCAGTGAGAGAGCTAGCTAGCACTTTGAGTGTCATGCCTAAAAGTCCCCCTTATTTATAATTCATGACCAGTAACACTTACCACTCCTATTACATAACTTTACCCCTCTAAACTAATATCTCACAGATTTGAGGCCCGGCCTCTTCTAGAAAGCAAACTCTTTAAAAAGCAAATAGCCTGGTGCCGTGGGGTTGTTCATGTTGCCATATCAACCCCACTGTCAATCACAGAGTGGTCTGAAATACCCACAGAGGAGAATTTGAGTTTAGCTTTTAAGCCTTTAGCACTTGGATCATTTAGATTTTTTTTTATTTGGTTAATGATCACCAAGTTGTCATATCTTTGTCATTAAGTTTTATATTTTTATTTATTTATTTTTTCATGCTGAAAACCCCTTTAAGCTGCCCATGCCAAAAAATACTACAAATAAATAAATATATTTATGTTTGAATTCTTCCTGCATTGCATCCCAGCTGGCCCTCACTGGCTCACCACCACAGACTGAGATTTTTGTTTTCACGGACGCTGATGCGAAAGACACATGGTTGAAGAGCACTGTGCTGGCTTTGATTGAGAGAACAAAATCAGTAGTGAGTATATAAGAATCTCCATATATTTATACAGTCATATGCAGAAGTTTGAACACCCCTGGTCAAATTACATTTTGTTGATTTCCTAAATGAAAGCAAGTTAGCAAGTTACAGGGAACAAACTGAGTTCTGGTATTATTCTGCAAATTTTAGTGCACTATTTGTGTTTACTTGCTAAATTTAACATATTGTAAAAATAAAACCTAACATATTATTTATCTTTTCTAATGTGTGGTTTTTGCACACTTTACGTCACATTTGAAACAATGTGATACATGTGAATCCATTTTCATGTTGAAAAACGTGATTAATTGTAATGTGACTTTTCTGACCGACCCTAGACTAGTCTTTGTGATAACTCGTCCGATAAATAAGTCCTCTCCTGACGTGAAGGTGACCTTCATGCTGACCAATGCTCTGAGTGCTCGGCGCCGCCGGAGCAATGATGGGCAACGAGATGGCCAACAGCAATTCGCCAGCCGACTCTCCAACCCATTGAATGAGGTCTACCAGGATTTGGCTCAGGCCTCTGGGGGTCAGGCCATTGAGGTCACTAAAGCAACACTGCCACAGGCCACCAGCATCATAGTGGACACCTCCAGCTCTTCTCTGGTAATTTAACAAGTACCCCAAAGTAGTGGATAGCATAACAATAATAAGTTAATAGTGGATGAAAGTAGGGCTGCAACAAATATTCAATAATATTTGATAAAATTGTTAAGTAATTTGAAAAACCATTACTTTTATGAAACCATGCACTTCTGCACTGCAGTGTTCATCAATTAGATGAGAAACGAAGCTAATGCGAGGTTCGCTAATACGAAGCTAATTATGAAGCTAAATGCGAGCTAGTCACGAGTAGCAAGCAGTTACACACTGTGACATCAATGAGCTTTTTGGAGCAAATGAGTGATGGCCTGGACTTAACTTTAATCCAGCCCATATACCGCCATGAAATGATGATAATGACATTGTCCGAATCCAAGTGATGGAATGTTAACTTAGTATATAATGTTCACACACACACACACACACACACATTTTCTAAGCCTCTTTTCCTTCTGATTCGTTGGGGGGAGCTGAAGCCTATCCTAGAGGTCATTGGGCAGAAGGCAGAAAACACCCTGGGCAGGTTGCCAGTCCACCGCAGAGTATATAATGTTCAATAAACAAAATTTTAAGTCAGTCATGAATCATTTTAAACCAAATTTGAAATAAATTGCAAATTTGATTATTTAGTAGTGTTCCTATTAATGCAGCATAGTGAATTGCATTGCCCTTTTTTTCCAGGTAAAAGAAATATTACCTAGGCCAACATACTGCTGTATCACACATACATGTGGGTCAAATAAGCACGTTTTACGAGGGGTCACTTCACATGTATTGTTCACATGTATTTTGCCAGTGTCAGCAGTGGGCCAGCACTTCCATATCTCTTGCTTCTGTTCAAATAAGAAGTGCTGTTGAATGCAGAGCTCCAACAGCATCTCCCAGCTAGTGATGCAGAGTCATTCAATTCTTTGATTCTAATGTGTCTCAGAGATGGGGTCAACTTTTGGCCAATGCCTGCCTCTATTATCCATATAATAGGTTATTCTTATTTTAATGTTAGAAAAGGATCCAAAGCTAGTGAAAAAATATTCAGGGCTAGAGCCCAGAACATTTATAGCTCAGACTTAGTCACACCCCTGTTCAGCATGACCACTGAATTATGAATGACATCACCATTTCTGTTTCCTCAGGTCACTGTTTTCCAGGCTGTAAGAAACCCAGCAAAAGCAGAAACCTTCTCATTCTTTGTGGACTCCACTTTGCAAAACCTGACCATTTACATCACGGGCAACTCTCCATATTACACCATCACTAGTCCTTCAGGTGCTTTGATTGAACAACTTCTAAACACTGTAACATATGACATTTGGACACCCATAACCTTTCACCTCACAATATTTTCCCTTATTTCAACTGTCTCCTTTAATACTTCGCTACTTATACACCACTGATCTAGTTTGGAATGGCTTACCATGATAACAATACAAACTATTCACCAAAATCACATTTTATATGTTTTCAAGAATATTTCAATTCTGTGAACAAAAAGTTATTAAACCAAATTATCTGCCTTGAAATTTGATTTCCACTTATATAATGCATTCTGGTCATTCATTTTATTATAACTTAATGTTTAATGCTACACAGCTTTCTCTGTCGTTTCAGAATCTTCTACAGTTCCGTTCATCATTCTATTCACATTACTTCTTATGCTAAGTTTTCATAACCATGCTAATATTTAAACTAGGAGTCTCGCAGACCAGTGACAAATCAAGTGGGGCTTTGGGGCTGATTGAGATGGTTGGTAACTTCTACACGGTGCGTTTAACTATCTCTGACCAGGCAGGACTGTGGCTCATCAGCATTAACTCAACACAGCCCTACACCGTCAAAGTACTTGGTAAAATTATTACACTTCATGTATCTTTCTTGCTCAGGTGTGCACAGACAAATGAGTGATATGGAGTCTGCTGCGCTTGCATTTTATTCATTTTGACAGTTGATTTCAAATGCTGCTGGTCTCACATCATTTGTTATTACTCACTGTCCAGGTCAAAGTGCGGTTGACTTTCTGTTCGACTTCGTAGAACTTTCTGATGGGCCTCATCCGAGCTATGCTGTGTTGAACAGCAGGCCCGCAGCTAGTAAGTGAACATTCATCCATAACGATAATGAGTTTACTGTTATTAAATTGCTTCCCTGTGTATTCATTCATCTTTTGACCTCCTTTCAGATAGCAATATCACTCTGCTGGTCTCCATGGTGGGTGGGGACAGTGTGAGGCCTACAGAGGTAGCTCTAGTTGAGGCATCAAGTTCCAACTCCTATAATGGGACTCTGAAAGAGGTTGCTCTTGGCCTGTTCATGGCAACCATCAACAGCATCCCAGCAGGAGAGTTTGTTGTCCGGGTAGCTGGAAAGAGCATTTTCTCTAAGGCTTCAAATGGCCTCTTTTACAGACAGTCCTCAACTCAACTCCAAGCATCAAATGTGACAATCACTGTGAGTTTTACTGAACTTTAGTCTAGCATAGTTTTGTATAATATGCAGAGATGTAAACAGTACAGAGAAACTGTACGTGAGCATAAATTTGGGGATGTGTCAAAATCTTATTCAATTAAAAATTCTTATTCAGTTGTTTCTACACTCGTTGTCCATTTTATCAGCTCCACTTACCAAACAGGTGCACTTCGTAGTTCTACAATTACAGACTGTAGTCCATCTGTCCGTCTGTAACACTGACGTGGTGGTGGTGTGTTAGTGTGTGTTGTGCTGGTACGAGTGGATCAGACTGAGCAGTGCTGCTAGAGTTTTAAACAATGTGTCCACTAGCGGTCCATTCCTATTAGACATGCCTGCCTTGTTGGTCCACTTTGTATATGTAAAGTCAGAGACAGTAGCTCATCTGTTGCTGCAGTTTGTGTTGGTCATTCTCTGGTCCTTTATTAGCGGCCACAGGATGCTGCCCACAGGACACTGTTAGCTGGATATTTTTGGTTGGCGGACTATTCTCAGTCCAGTAGTGACACTGAGGTGTTTAAAACCTCCAACAGTGCTGCTGTGTCTGATCTACTTGTACCAGCGCAACACACACTAACACACCACCACCACATCAGTGTTACTGCAGTGCTGAGAATGATCTACCACCCAAATAATACCTGTGGGGGTTGTTAGCATTGACTAACAGGATAAAAGGGAACTGATAAAGTTCGCAGAGAGCAGACAGACTAAAATCTGTAATTGTAGAGCTACAAAGTGCTCCTATATGATAAGTGAAGCTGATAAAATGAACAATACATGTAAAAACGAGGTAGTTTTAATGTGTGTGTATATATATATATATATATATATATATATATGTATATATATATATATATATATATATATATATATACACTATAAAGTACACTATAAAGTTTGCTTGAGAGGAGGTAGTAAAAATGTGCAGAATAAACTAAAACGGTAAAAACATTTTGCTTTGTTTGGTTAAGTGTAGTGCAGTGACTAATGTATGTCACTAGTTCTTGCACGAAGACAGCATAGCATAGTTGTGGACAGTATCATTTTACTTTCATGTGAATTTGGTTGGATGTTTTCATTTTTAAAAAAAACTTAAGTGATTTAGAAAAATGAAAATTTTTGGCCGAATCTAAAACCAAACTTTAGGTCACACTCAAAAACTGAAACTGTGAAAATCGGACAAAAATAAAAACATACGTTTACATAAAATAAACTTACTAATAAACTTACTAAAATTATTACCTTACGAAAGCCAATGGCCTCAAGGACCTCCAGACAATCCAGATATTTAGTCCAACTTTAACAACAAAGGATAGGGCAAAAATGTAGACCATCTGGGGGTCTCTTTTTCTCTTGGAAGTGTATTTAAGGAAAAGAAATGAGTATTCAATTGCAATAATACTTGATAATACTTTTGAACAAGAAAGAAAAAGTACAAGTCTTCCAAAATAATACTCAAGTATAGTAATGAAGTACAGTTATTTTAAGTATTTTCTACCTCTGATAATTTGTCTTGAATCCAAAGAAATTCTGATGTCCTTGTTCATGACTGAAACAGAAAAATTAAGTGTATAATTTATTCCAGCCCTAATCCCTGAGGGCGGGGTATCATTCTAAAGTTTGCAATACCAATAGTGATAGCTTGACTTGGACGCCATTTGCAATCCTTTTTTCAACAGATTTTTTAAATTGCAAATGTGGGTGTGGCCTTAACCAGAAATGAGTGTGAGAAATCGCACATGGGTAAAGTGCACACTAAGAAATGCTGAAGTTAACAAATATATGTCATATGGCATCAGCAGTGTAGATTTTGGAACATCCTTACAGATGCCAAAAACATCACCTATGTGTTGAAATTTGATATTAAATGACCGGTATCCACACAGAGTGGATTCTGTCAGTAACATAAAACTATTGAATTCTGACACCCAGCACTAGTCCTGAGTACTCACAATATGTAATTACCTTCTATTCATACTGCTTAACGTTAACTTTCCATGAAAATCAATTACTCTACCAATTAATCACCAGTTGCAAAACTCATTGAGCTCAAAATGACCATTCACATTTAGAAAATTATCAAGAGCAATTAGGCCTTGCTGAAAATAAGTATCACGTGGGCATTTTTAAAGCATCCGTTTTGAAATACAGCAGTATAACTCAAAAGTCATCTGTCCAACTAAACTGTCATGGTATTTACCCTCAGACGCAGGCTGATGGAACACTGGTACCAGGAAAAAACTTCACTCTGACCTTCACAGTGGCAACCAATGGCTCTGAAGGAGTCTTTAATATCAGAGTCAGTAATGATCGCAGTTTCGTAATGACCAATGTTCCCTCATCTCTGACTCTTGCGCGTGGAGGCAGCGCAAATGGCACAGTAACTCTGGCTGCTCCTAGAAACACCCCCTCAGGAAGTGACGTCACTTTGACTATCGAAGCTGAAGCCCCTGGGGGAGCTGATTCCAACTATGCAGTGTTGCGGCTTTCTGTTGTTGCTCCGGTAACTGTTTGCATTTGATTTAATATTCCAGTGTGCTGTCAAAGAGAGGGTCATTTCTCAATGTCATTTATGCTGAAAAAAACAGCTTTTAAAATTTTTTGTGCACATTGGTTTAACATTAATTAAATCAACACAATGAGCATTTTCATTTTACTTGCTTTTGGCAACAATTGTGTTGATGTAAGATTGATGTAAGATGTAAACTTTTATCCATTTGGAACCAATCAAATAGAAGGCTAGTTGTTATGTACATGATTTCAGGCCAATTTAATATGCACCTCTATATAGCTCATCATGGTGTCTTTCTACTTCTTTAAGGTAACAGACATTACCCCTCCAGTGTGTAAGGTAGTTAGCGTCAATGCTAACTGCTTGGGCAAACTGTATGCTCTCCTCTTGGGACCTCTCTGCTAACGTGACTGATGGAAATGGATCAGGCATCCATAGTGTGACCATACGGCAAGGAAACGGCACCCTCAGCACCAGCACTGTGCTGGACAAAGGTGTGAACGTCACTTGGGCGTTCTACAGCGCATCTTGCTGTTTCCCACAGGTGGAACTGGTGGTGGTGGATGCAGCGGGAAATGTTGGCACCTGCTTCAGATCGTTGAATGCTACAGTTCCACAAAGCACAAATGCTACATCTACCATCACCACCACCACCACCACCATCGCCACCACCAATACCACCACCACCATTGCCACCACCAATACTAACGGTGCAGAATGCTGTCTGTTTCTGCCTGTTTTCTTTTGGCTAACTGTAGGAACCACCTTGTTTTATCAGTACATGCTGCTGTAAGTAAAGCCTGGATTCCAGTGAGAGTACAAATGCTACATCTACCACCACCACCACCACCATCGCCACCACCAATACCACCACCACCATCACTACCACCAGTACTAACGGTGCAGAATGCTGTCTGTTTCTGCCTGTTTTCTTTTGGCTAACTGTAGGAACCACCTTGTTTTATCAGTACATGCAGCTGTAAGTAAAGCCTGGATTCCAGTGAGAGTTCATACCATTATCACAGGCTTATGTATGCAATAATAATGCTTTTATGCGGAGTGAGTAATGGAAATATTTAAGGGTCAATTATAAATATAAATGGAATACAGATTAATTTTCACACTTACCGTATAACTTCCTCAAGGTACTGGATACTCATATGTTAAAATTATACTACTATTATAACCAAAATGTAACTGCAAACTCTTTTTATTTCAACTGAATCAGACTTACAAGGGAATGTATGGTAAAAGGGATCATTATCCTTTCTCTAATCTTTAAGCAAATTATTGATATTATTACATGTTATTTAACAAATCAATATATAACTGGAAGTGGTGACGTATTGCATAATATAATCTTTGTTTCTAATCCTTCTGTTTTGTAATACATATACTGTATATGTTCATTGCCCTCTTTGAGCTGATTCTTCTGTTTTAGTATACGGCACATAATAAATATCCAGGCATATATTTATAGAAAGTCTACATAATTTGTCTACATTGTCCACATTATGGCTTATATGTGTGTGTCAATTGGACATGATTAAAAAAATACCTTTCTGTATCTGTGATTTTTTTTTCCTGCAAAAACCGACTGTTCACATATTTGGACATCATGCAACAATGGTCAAGAACTAAAATACCAGAAAATCTCATGGATAAAATTGTTGAATGTCTCTATAGGTATGATAAACAAATAAATATATACATGTTGAACTTGGAAAAAAGGTATATACTTGTGAAATTGGTTAGTTTTTGCAAGAAGATTTTGTATTAAATAGCACTGATAGTATGTACCATAGAATAAAATCTGTTGCAGTAATTAAACAACATTTAACAGTCAGCTGTCAGTGCACTATGCTCGGGCAACTGTATGCTCTCACCGAGATATTGTTAGTGAAGATGACAACCATCAATCCAGTCTACTTTATTCCAGCTGTCATTAGAAAATATCCCTAATTCCCAGAACTATCAATTAGGCATGCATGTTAAGCCATGACAGATAAAGGCCTACCTTTTACAGCACCAGGCATAGACATCTACGGCAGCTGGTGAAGAGTGTCAACTACTGTGCTAGCTAGCTAAATAGGAAGTACACTAAGAAGTAGCATAGCTCAGCGAGCAGCAACAATAGGCGCACTTTACCAGTGAGATTGCATTAATAACAACATTCTGCGAAGTTTTCATTGTCGAAGGAGTAACATAACCGGGGGCAGATCTACAGAGTGACCCCTGCCAACCTCCCCACCACCCTACTTTTGCAGCCCGCAAAATTAAACATATTGCGCTACTCTTAAAACTCTTAAAATGGATAAAAACATTGAGCCTCTTTCACCATCCGTTCTTAGAAAATACATTTCTTCTTAAAACCCAAGTGTGCAGTTTTAACAAAGATTCTGACATTCACCAGTGTTTTCTTATTTGGAATTTGTTCCCAAAATAAGAACAGAATCTACATTCTTCATAAATTCTGCAGTGTAAGAACACGACATGAATCTGACGACTTTTTCTTAGGACCTTTCTCAAAAATTCAAGAAAAAACTAGGGTATTGGTGAATGAGGACCATTTTAAAAAAAGCAAATATTATGTGTTATTTAAATGCTTGTTCACGCAATGTGCCAATCAGACGCAAGAATTTGAGACGTGACACATGAGCCACTTCCGGCTGTAGATAATTGAGCACTGCAGAGCACTTGTTTGATTAGAGTGAGTGTAGACGAAAACTGGAGCTATTCTGAGTAAAGTTTCACAGAAGTATTAATGTACACTGGATTGAATTCCATATCAACACCATAGCAGTTTATAAGTAGTGGCATGTTTCATTAGCTATCTAGCTAACTTATCAGCTAGCACATTAAATGACTAACATACAGCTAAACTGAAATGGCATTTGTTCATCAGTTGATGTTCACTTGTTCTTGTTCTGTATTTTCTCAATCCTCCAATCACTACTTAGCAATCGTTCTATCAAACTTTTAGCAGTGCACTGATGTCTCCTGTATTTGGAATTTAAAGCTCCAGGTGTGGTCAAGACATGCACCTGGGCAATGATTAAAAATGACAGCATGACAGAGTCTTCCCATTACCCAAAATGTCTGGTCTGTGAATTTGGTAGTTAAAATGCTCCTTTACTGCAAAAGCTAAAACAACTACGTCAAAATATCAAAGCAAATGTCTCAGTCTTCATTAGGCAGGAGTGTGTTTGTGGTGAGTGGACACGTGCTTTGTAGTGAAGTGTGATGTGAACATTCAGGCTACAGTTGGCAGGAATTGGTATGACAACTACGCTGCTCTCTTGAATAGGCTGTAGCCTGATGTAATGACATTGTGTGTTTATATCTCCCCAGGCAGCCTACTCACTTTTTCACAGGCCTACCCAAAAAGATTTGTTCTGCCTATGCCACTGGGTTAGCATATATAATTATTTTGGTTCCGATACAGCCTATCTAATATGTAATATAACGTATAATGTAGACTATAACTGTTGTTTTGTGTTTTTTAGTAGTTTGCTCAGTGGTAATACGGATAATTTCACTATATAAATAATGAACATGCCACCCCTAGTAAAACTTTCTAGATCTGCCTAGATGCCGATGTGTTAATTGCTATTTTTAGAATGATCATGTTGTAAAGAATATGCTAAAGTGCAGTCATCTAGTGAAGTACATGCTGCTAGTGTTTGTAGCACTTTTACTAGCAGCCACAGAACAAGTTTTTTTGCTCGTTTTCACATTCAAGAATGTAAGCTTTACTTTATGTATGATTTTGTATAACTGTTGAAATCTTTGTGATGTGCAGAGAAAAGCACCCCTGATAGCAAGAGGATAGTGGACCACTGTCAGCCCTGCTGATGGCAAAGCTGGCAGTCCACTGGCATTTTGCTCAGTGTTTTCTGGGCGGCCCACCGGTGGCTAAGCAGAGTATTAGACGAAATTCCACTTTTCATCGCTTATTTTCCACTCACAGTCCAATTTATGTAGTTTTCATTTCTTTCTTTCTTTAGATATACTTTGTAAATTAGTTTGGCGAATAATTTTAATCTAGCACAGTGTCAGCAACACAATTTTCTATAAAATCATTTTATATTAGGCCTGGTCATTATTTATTTCTCTCAGTTGTTTCTTTATTTGTCTAAGTTTATTTTCTAAAATTAAAGTTCCTCTGCATTTAAAATTTGTTCAGAGAGATTAAAAACTAGTTAGCACTTGTATGCTGGACAATAATCTGGGTGGTCCGAGGGTGGACCAGTAGTGGAAAACAGTCAGATAAGGTGCCGACCTTATCAAGCCAGCGGACTGATATATGCTTACTATCTGGGACAGTATATAATTTCATACCACTATAAGCTTTGAGTGAACAAATGGAAGCTTTGCTTGACTCTACATTGTGAGCGTGTGCATGCAGAACAGCACGCTATAGCATGTCATGTAGTTTTCCGATGTTTTTACCTAATAATTTAATAATCTAGCAAAGAAGATAGATAATTAGCCAATTTAGACATTTCAGTCCTGTAATAAAGTGTCATAAAATGGTCAGAAAATATTTGTATAACAATTCATCAGGTATAATTTTATGATCTTGACTGGGCATGTTGTGATATTAAAACATTAAACCGGGGCAGGTGGGGTGGGGTGTCTGTTTCTCAAAGAGATGTAGTCTTTTTGGTGCTTTATTGTTAGGCCAATTGTTGCCAAATGCTGTCTATGACTCCCGGCTGTTACATCACCAGGGATCAAACTCGCGATCTGCTAATGATAGGGCCAACACTTAGACGGTTGGCCTTGGTTGAATTTTAATGATTTTTATAGGTTTTAAATTAGTGCTGTGAGACATCCATATTACACACAGATGTAAATCACTTATATTGTACAGACACCCATCTGGCAAACATATCACAACCTTTAGTTCGGTAAGATATGCTTAGTTCAACTTGAATGATTAGAAGTTTATTCAATTCAATTCATTCAATTTATTCATTCAATTTACGGCAGGAAACAAATTCATTCACATGAAAAATAATCGACTGTGTAGAGTCCCATCTGCAGTCAGACTCTCCACCTTTCTTCCACTTTGAATCTTTCCGAGTCTTTCTGGGTCATGATGCTCAAGTCTGAGCCAGAGTCCGAGTCACTCGTGTTTAAGTCACAGTCGCGTCGCAAGTCTTTCTTGATTTTCTCGAGTCAAGATTAAAGTCATCAAATTCATAACTTGAGTCAGTCTTGAGTCCAAGTTATATGACTCGGGTCCACACCTCAGTTAGGTAAACTTTTTTGTGTTGCAATAAAAATATTATGATTTTATGTACAACTGTTTAAAGCTGTGCTTTGTGATTCTGCTCAGCATGAGCCAAAACTTTCACTACTGAAACATTTGGTAACATTTTGGTAGTGTTATGATTATTAGTGCCAAAACAGAAAGGTCAATGTTTTGTTTTAATAAAATAAACATAATAAAGGTACAGAGTCACTCAAAAGGATTTTAATCTAAAGTCAAAGTTAGCTTAAATAGATCATAACATGATCATTGAAAATATCTAAAGATTGATTTTTTTATTTGCTGTGTGTTATTTCCTGTATTCTCTTGAATAGTTTATAAAATGAGATACATAAATGTTTGGTGTGTGTACCCTCTTAAAATGTCAGTGTTACTAAATCCTAACGCTTTTTATTGAGTAACTACATGAATTAGAATGTAACTTGCCTGGATTAATTGCTCTCTCCATGGCAACCATAGAACTAGCCATTCAGCCATTCTCTGCCTTATGACATCATTCCATTACATTATGATGTCATTCCCAAATTTGCATATAGAACACAGCAGAAGTGAATCTAACAACACTTTTCTCATTCAGTGTCTTATTTGACTGACTTTCACCTGTGAAATTTGATTCTACGTGGTAAAGCACCTTTGTAAGGACCATGTCTGCATATTTTCTGCGTTCCAGGAAAACAAAGAGTGAGTTTTGCCCGAAGGGTTTTTATCTTACATAGTAATTAATTAGAAATTCTCAGTAATAAACTTTCTGCAATAATTAAAAAACGTATGAATGTATGAACGTCATGAATCAGATTTTATTCTGTCAGGAGCCTAAATGTGCTCATGTTTTACAGCTGTGAGACAATTTAAACAAAGTAAGCACTGTAAAAAGTTTGTTTTAAACAGTTTTAATATAAGAACGAGAGAGAAGCCAAAAAGGCAAATTCAGGTTCTGTAGTTGAGAGACAATTTTGCCATAACTAGAGCTCATGAAGTGCTAGGGCTAAAACTCAAATTACTCCTCTACTGTATATAGTGTACTGCATAGGTCAAAAAGGCTTTTACAGTCAAACAGTGAATTAAATGCCCAGTAAGGAGCCGTGCAGCCTATGACTGAATCCTAAATGTTTTACTGCATTTAATACATTCTGAATGTAGAAGCCATAATGTGTGAAGGCAGGTTTTCAGACCTTTTTGCTCTGCAGGGGCAAATTCAGATGACACAGAGCCCCAAGTGGACCATACACCTAACAACAGCGGCCTTGACTGCACCTGCCTCGGCCCGAGAGGAAAGAGGAAGAAGAGCA